CTATCTATCTATGTATGTAGCGTTTGTCTGTCATCTGTCCATCCATCCACTTAGTCATCTATCAGTGTATCTATCTGTCCATCCATATCTATCTATCCATCCATCTATCATCTGTCTGTCTGTCCGTGCATTATATCTACCATCTAGCTATCTATCCATCCATTCATCCATTTATTCATCTATCATCTATGTAACTATCAATGTAGCTATCTATCCATCTGTCATATCTATCTTTTATCTACCTGTCTTTATATCACTCATCTATCATTTATCTATGTATCATCTATTATTTATCATCTATGCATCCATCCACCTATCATTTGTGTCCTATCCTATTTCTCTAATATCTATTATCTGTCTATATCATGTATGTATCCATCATATCTATTATCTATCATCTATTTATCACATGTCTATATCTATCTCTCCATCCATCATATCTATTATCAATCTATGTATCATCTGTGTATCTGTCATTTATCTATTATCTCTATCTATCTATTCAATATTTATCAATCTATCAATCATTTGTCTACCCCTCTGTCTTTATATCAATCATATATCTATCATCTGTTTACCTCTCTATTATTTATCATCGATCTCTCCGTCCATCCATTCACCTATCATTTATCTGTTCTTTCTATGTATGTATGTATGTATGTATCTATCATCCATCTCTCCCCACTGTGAGGACACAGCGAGTAGGCCACTACCTACAAGCCAAGCAGAGGGTCCTCCGCAGGAACTGACCCTGCCAACACCTTGATCTCGGATGTCCAGCCTCCAGACCATGAGAAATCAGCGTGTGTTGTTGAAGCCCCTGTCGGTGGGACTTCGTTGCTTCTGCCTGAGCTGACAGACACACCCTAAAGCTTCAAATCCAGGAGCAGCACGATGGAAGCTGTGCTACTGATTCACCATGTACAGGAAGGAGAACCACGAAAGCAAAAGAAAAGGAAGTGCATATTGCCCACCTCTGTGCAGCTGTCTGGGGCCGCCCCGTGTAGACTTGTCTGCACCCCCGTGTTTACTCTCCCTTCATGCCAATTCGAAGTGTTTGCTTTCTTTCTTGTTTTGTTTTGTGTGTGTAAATGTGAGCTACATCTAATCCTTTGTGGAACGAGGCAGGGTTAGGAGTCACAAATAGCAAAGGTGTCTGTGTCCACAGTTACAGATACACATTTGGTAGATGCAGGGACAAATGACCCCAAACTGGGGGCTTAAAATGACCCGAATCCATCCTCCTTCAGTTCTGGAGACCAGACCTCTGAGGTCGAGGTGTCCCAGGGCCGCGCTCCCTCCAGAGGCTCCAGGGGAGGGTCCTTCCTGCCTCTTCCAGCTTCTGGGGGCTCCAGGCGTCCCTGGGCTTGTGGCTGCCTAGTTCCCGTCTCTGCCTCCGTCTTCACGGGGCTTCTCCTCTGTGTCTGTGAGTCTCCTCTTCTGTGTCTTAGAAGGACATTGGATGTAGGGCCACCCTCATCCAGGAGGACCTCATCTCAGACCCTTACCTTCATTTCATCTGCAAAGACCCTATTTCCAGAGGGCCCGTCCCCAGGTCAGCCCTTGAACGTCTCTTCTTTGGAGAACACAGATCTCCCCACTGCAGGCAGCGTCTCTTTCGGTTTCATCCCTTGTGGAACGTGGTGCAACTCCTTTCTGTCGGGTGCAGGACCAGTTCCTGTGGCCCTAACGGTTCAATGCCATTTGTTTTTAAACCAGGTGACTTTTTCAAAGACAGCCTCCCGGAAGCAGATCTGTACGTCCTTTCCAGAATCCTGCAGGACTGGCCGGATGACAAACTCCACAAGCTACTGAGCCGGATCTCAAGCAGCTGCAAACCAGGTGAGACCACATCATGTACTTGCCTTTTTCAACACGTAAAGACAGTTTCCAATTTTAAAAAAAGCGTACATTTTATAGAGGAAGCTCCCCGTCCGCCAGCCCGCCGTCTGGTGCTCAGTTTACCGGCTCCCTGAGGACGTACCTGATTCTCGGGTGTCAGTGATGCGTTTCGGAACTTTATGGCGCCAGCGTCTGGGGCTTGGGCTCGTGGACGCCCCCCCACCCTAGCCGTGTCCCTCCCCGGGCCCCGCCGGGCTCAGGGTCTCCCTCCTCCGATGATGATGATTTTCCGGGCTGCTCTGTGGTACCCAGCCTCTCCCCACGGCGCTCGGGGCCGACGTGGGTCATCGGGCTCGTGGAGTCGAGGGCAGCAAGCCGCCCGGGCCCCTCCCTGGGTCCCCATGTCCAGCGGCGCAAGACGAGCTCTCTTTCCACGTCCTGCGACCCCGGCGCCTCCCGGGGCACCTCCACTGCCTCTTCTGTGCGGTTATGAAACAAAATATTCAACAGTCCGGGGTCATCTTCAACTCCCAAATGCCCCTCCTGTTCTCCACCTCTCAGGAAAACGACCCCCATTCCCGATCTTTTATTTGGGACAAAATCCAGAGCGAGGGTCGAGTCCATGCAGGCAGTGTCTGCAGGAAGTAACCACGTGGCAGCCGTCCTGGGGCCCCGTCTCCTATAGCCGTGACCTGTTCCCAGGACCCGCGCGGTTCAGTACGACTGCAGCCCCTCCCCTGGGGTCTGAGCCCTGCAAGCTGTGACGAGCATCTCCATCTGGGGTACCCAAAGGGCCGTTTCTTTTTTGTTTTTAGTTAGATTTATTTACTCCTTTTTTAGACTGTAGTTGCTTTACAATGTTGTGTTACTTTCTGCTGTACGGCAAAGTGAATCAGTTGTATGTATACATATATCCCCTCTTTTATTTTATTTAATTTTATATACACTTTTTGGCTGCATCACGCGGCATGCGGGATCCTAGCTCCCCATCCAGGGATCAAACCCGCACCCCCTGCATTGGAAGCGTGGAGTCCTAACCACTGGACCGCCAGGGAAATGCCTAGGAAAATATTAATAAAAGCGTGGAAGGCTAAGTAAAATTTTTAAATGAGCCAGTTTTAGTCCCCCAAACAACAGTGTAGTTAAGGCATTCTTGTCGGTCCCTGTAGCACAATGAAGAGGGCCCCCCCCAATTCACGTCCACGTAGAATATTACTTGGAAGCAGGGTCTTTGCTGATGTGATGAAGTGAAGGGTCAGACATGAGGTCCTCCTGGAGGAGGGTGGCCCTACATCCCATGACAGGGTCCTTCTAAGAGACAGAAGAGGAGAGACACAGACACAGAGGAGAAGCCCCGGGAAGACAGAGGCAGAGACGGGAGGGAGGCGGCCACGAGCCCAGGGACGCCTGGAGCCCCCAGAAGCTGGAAGAGGCGGGAAGGACCCTCCCCTGGAGCCTCTGGAGGGAGCGCGGCCCTGGGACACCTTGACCTCAGACGTCTGGTCTCCAGGACTGGGGGAGGATGGAGGTCTGTGGTTTTAAGTAGTTTGTTCCGGCTGCCCCAGGACACCCACGCAGCCTGTGAGATGCAGGTTTTCGTGTGGTCACAGGAGCATCACACGGACATTCGGGGTACCCTGTCCAGGAGGGCCGGTTCCTGTTTGCTCCCTGCTGTGCCCCAGCCCGAGAACAGAGTCCCCACATAATGGATGGAACACAGTTGAGAAGGAAGGAATCACAAAACAGGGGTGCCCCGGGGGCGAGGAAGGGCCGGGAGATGTGAGAGCTGGATTCTCACCCGCCTCAGAGACAGGCACTGAGCCTGGGGACGGTCAGTTCCAAGTTGCCTTTGTGCTGCGAAGGCTTGTGGGGGCGGGGTGGGGGCGGGCGTGGGTGTGTTGGGGCTTAGACCTGCTGGCCAGAACCGCCTGTTAAATGCCCAGCACCCCTGCCAGCCAGCCCACAGCGAGCTGTCAGCGTGCAACTGGCAGTGGAGGGGATCCTTAGAGCTCAGAGATTGGCAGGCACGGGGGCCAGGGCTTCCCTCCACCCCCGTAGCTGGGATTGCAAAGGTTGCCTGCGCCCTGGGTACAGTGCGGGTCACAGATAAGAACTGAGCGTGACCTCCTGGGAACTCCCTGGCGGTCCAGTGGTTAGGAGTCTGCGCTTTCAGTGCCGAGGGCGCGGGTTCAACCGCTGGTCAGGGAACTAAGATCCTGCCAGCTGCACGGCAAGGCCAAACAAAAGAAAACAAACCCTCAATATAGGGCTTTTGGAGCTGCTGAGTTAATAACCCGTGTATCCGTGAGTCTGAAAAACATAAAAACTGACAGAACGAGCGCACCATATGATCCCTTTTTTTTTTTTTTTTTGGCGGTACGCGGGCCTCTCACTGCTGTGGCCTCTCCCGTTGCGGAGCACAGGCTCCGGATGCGCAGGCTCAGCGGCCACGGCTCACGGGCCCAGCCGCTCCACGGCATGTGGGATCCTCCCGGACCGGGGCACGAGCCCGCGTCCCCTGCATCGGCAGGCGGACTCTCAACCACTGTGCCACCAGGGAAGCCCGATCCCAATTCTTTTTATTGAAGTATAGCTGCTGCACAATGTTATATAAGTTACAGGTGTACAGTACAGTAATTCGCCATGGTTAAAGGTTACACTCCATTTATAGTTATTATAAAATATGGACTCTATCCCCTGTGCTGTACCATACATCCTTGCAGCTGACTTTATACCTAATAGTGTGGAGCTATGATCCCAGTTTTGTTAACTTCACGTTTACTTAAATGCCTAGAACCCAAATGAGACTTTGCACCAAAATTCTCCCAGTTACCGTCACCGGCAAGCAGAGCTGGGGCTCGTGTGCCACCACCTGCTTTGTGTCTCTTCTCGGGGTCTCCCCCGGTAACCCAAACAAAAGGAAGAAGCAAGCGCGAGCTACCTCCTGCCCCTCTGCTTTCTGTCCCAAGGCTTGTCTTCTCCCGGCTTGGTTCCCCCTTCTTCACAAGCACTTCTGAAAATACATACACAGAGAGTTGGACAGATACAGGTGTGTGTACACGCACACATGCACACTTTCTACTTCTCAAGGCTCTCATGTAGGTTGTTCCCACCAACAGTGCAGCTCCACATATATACACCACTCTATATGAAACAGAGAACCAACAAGGACCTACTGTACAGCACAGGGAACTCTGCTCCAGTACGTTGGAATAACCTATAATTGAAGAGAATATAAAGAATATATATTTACATACATACATGTATAACGGAATCACTTGTCTGTACACCTAAAACTAACACAACGTTGCAAATCAAGTATAATTCAAAAAAAAAAAGATAATCTCGCTGAACCAATTAAACGTCAGAAAAAAACAAATCGTGCTCCTGACACCGTCGTGGCCGGTGCTATCCCTGTGCCACGCAGGTCCGCCAGGGACACTGCTGCCAGGGAAGTCCCGGTGCGGTTCATTATGGCATCAGGGAGGCTGCAGCTGTGTCCCTACATTCAGAATCCCTGCCGTCCGTGTCTTCCTGCAGCGAATCCCTTCAGTGGGGAGCCCGGGGCACCCGCAGCCTGGGTCCTGAGACTCTTTCCCCACCCCGTCTCTCTCTGTCTCTATGTCTCTGGCTCCCCAGGCGGTGGCCTCCTGGTGGCTGAAGCGGCGGCAGAGGAGGAGGGGGCGTCGCAGAGCCCCCGGCTGCGGACCCTGAGCGCCGGGCAGCCCCGGAGCCCCGACGAGCACCGGCGCCTTCTGCAGCGACACGGCTTCCAGGACGTGCGGGTGGCGCGCGCGGGGGACCTGCTGTGCGTGGTCCTGGGCACCCGAGCTGCGCCCTGAGGGTCACCGGGAACCCGGCAGGGCCCAGCACCCGGAAGTGAAGGGTTCCTGGAGAGCAGGTGTCACCGGACACATTAAAGGAGGCGGAAAGCACGGCTGTCTCCGCGCATCTGTGACGCGCCCGGGTGGTGGGATGCGTGGGCGGGGGGACCCCGGGGCCGGCGAGGGATGCGCGGGCCAGGCCAGGTCCCCAGGTGATGTCAGCATCTCCCTCGCTCCCTCTTAGCTGGTGACTAGATCTTGGCGGACCTAGACCCTACTTCCCAGTGTTTCACTCCTATTTTCAGTGCGTTTGTCCTCTGCCCTCCCGGCCGCATGCACCTTCTCTTACCTTCAGGGCGGCGGAACCTACCTCTGCCCCCGTCCATGGTGAAACCGCGTACAGGAGCTCACGCGGTGGGAGGTTTATGGGGTCAAGATGCTTGTTTACTGCAAACGTTCTCCAGGTACCTGGGTGAGGCTGTGTCTCTTCCCTTAATGACTAGGCGAGTACAGTGGTGACTGCGTAGCAATGTATACGTTGTCTGTTACGTGTACACCATTATTGTTAGGAAAAAATGCCCCGAATGTCAGATGGGGTCCTTTCAAACAGGCCCCCTGTGAGTGTTGACATTCACCTGTGCTTTCCAGCTAAAACCACCACAGACTCTTAGATACATAACTTCCAAGGAGAGAGACGTATGTATAATTTTCTAGGTGTAAGGATATATTTTAGGGGCTTCCCTGGTGGCGCAGTGGTTAAGAATCCGCCTGCCAACACAGGGGACACGGGTTCGAGCCCTGGTCCGGGAAGATCCCACATGCCATGGAGCAACTAAGCCCGTAGGCCGCAGATACTGAGCCTGCGCTCTAGAGCCCGTGAGCCACAACCACTGAGCCTGTGAGCCACAACCACTGAGCCCGTGTGCCACAAGTACTGAAGCCCATGCACCTAGAGCCTGTGCTCCACAACAAGAGAAGCCACCGCAGTGAGAAGCCTGTGCACCGCAATGAAGAGTAGCCCCCGCTCGCCGCAACTACAGAAAGCCTGCGCTCAGCAACGGAGACCCAACAGCCAAAAATAAATAATTTTTTAAAAATCCCTTATAAAAAGAATATATTTTATATATTTAGAGCATATAAACTATGTATGTCACATATAAATGGGTAAGTATATATTTGTAACGTATAATATATACACACACACTAGTATATAATTTTGGACGGACTCCAAGTTTTAAAAAATCACAGATTGTGTCTCCATGTGAGACACAGACAGAGGAGGGAGGAAATGAAACACTGGCTATAAAGGGAGCTGTGCCATCCCGATGGAGCGCCGGCAGCTCTCCTGAGTGAGAGGGACAAAGGAGAGGGGTCACGGCCCCTCCATCCGTCTGGCCCCGGGGTGGACCTGCAGCCTCAGTGAAACTGCAGCTAGGGTCGCAGGAGACCGCCCACCGGGTCCCCTCTGCCAGCCGCGTCCCTTCACCTGGGCAGGGCGGTGCTTGGCTGCTGGCAGGGCCACATCCCCCGCGCGGTGGACCCGGGGTGACGCCGACCCTGTTCACGGGGGGCCACTCCCTTCAACCCGCTTCCTACCCGGGAGGAGAGGTGAATCCCTGCAGGTGACCCTGCGTCAGCCAAGGGCACCGTGTTGCAGCAGGGCTGGGTCCCCAATACCAAGCGACGGGTAGTGGGCATGTGGAACGCCCGTGCTCTGGCCGGGCAGGGAGCCAGCCGTCTTGACACTGGGTTTGCTAGAAGAAACTGCGCTTGTAACCAGAGGTGTCAGAGCGCCTGCCTCGGCCGGGGGAAGGGGGGTGGTACCCGACCCCCCCTTAGTCCTGGCTACTGGGAGCCCTGCGGGCTGCGGGCAGGGGGGCTGCTACAGGCAGGGCTCTGACCCACGACTGTTCCCGTAAACCAACGATGCGCCCGAGGGCCACGCCCAGTTGGAAGAGTAACTAACGGGCAGATGACGCTTGTGGAAGCAACGAAGGGCCCATGGCTTCCTTGTACCGCTCCCTCTCCTTGTGTTGGAACAGTTTGCAGTAAGAAAAAAAGATAAGAAACTAAAAGGTGAGAAAAGAAAGTGTGACTTCCACACAACCTGTCTCTTCATTTCTTAGAAATACATGCAAAGGCAGGACTTTTAGGGAAGCTGGCGTAAAACAGCACACGGGCGTGGCTGCCCGCACGTGCCTGTGTCTTTAAATCAACAGGGATTTCTAGGTTGGAATTGCCCTGGACCTGACCCCCGCCTTCCGGGTCACATTGATTCATTCATCCATCCATCCATCCATCCATTCACTCAGGAGATGTCTGAGTGCCCACTGCAGACGGGGCCTGTCTGGATGCATCACTGGGTGACACCTCTGTCCTCTCCACTTGTCTGGGGTGGACGGGCAGTGGGCGTAGGGGACGATAAGGATGACACCCGAGACAGCAGCGTGTGGTCCCCCCCAGGTCCCCCCTGCAGGGTCCCTCCACCAGGCAGGCGCCCTTCCCTGAGCAGCCCCCGGCCCCTCACCAGACCAGTTCACTTAAAGGCCACGCCCCCCAATGCCACCCTCATCCCTTCTGTGACTCACTCTGAGCCCTCAGTGGAAACCCGATCATCTTTAAGCACCTCCTCCTTTACCTTTCGTTAGGCCACCCGTTTTTCAGATACCCAGCTTCTAATACTGTCCAGGTCGCAGTAAGACTTTGGGGCAGCGTGAGGAACGGGGGGCCATACCTCGGCCTCCCCACCCCTGCCCCTGGGGATCCTAGGACATAACCCCTTCCTCTCCCCGCCGCAACCCCACCTCTCAGCCCCCTTTTTCCCTTTCCAATCCCCGGTGCGCAGTCTACCTCCTTCACCAGGTACACGGTATTCTTGTGCGTGGTCCTGCCGCCCTCCCGGGTCAGCCTCCCTGAAGCACGAGGGGTGGGTCACCCCCGCTCAGTCCCACCCCGACAGAGGCACATATGCACTGCTTAGACAGATGGGTCTGCATCTAAGGCCCGCATGAGATGCTTTTTAAAGAGAAACGCGTTCTGAACCCCAGTTAGCAATGGGGAAGAGGTCACAGCCATTCATTCCCCCCAACAGCGAGGTGCTGACCTGCGCGGGGGGCGGGGGGCGGGCGCTGGGAATGCAGGTGGGGCGCAGGGAGGGGTGTCCCTTGCCTGGGGGAAGGGAGCGGGTCGCTCAGAGGTTAACCGCTCCCGCCGGGGCGGGAGAGGCTCTCCAACAGAAGCGCCTACCTCCAGGGCCTCACAGCCGGAGCCTGCAGGACCAGCTTCGGCTGGTTGGCCCCTGTCGGCCCCTGTCGGCCCAGCGGGCAGTGATAACCATCACAGGCTCCCTGCACGCCCAAACAGGTGGCGCCTGCGTACAAATGCAGACAGGAGAGATGCTCTCTTCACCTGGGAGTGCCCAGACGGCGCCAGCACCCTGTCCCTGCCCAGAACCCACGGCCGCCCTGTCCTCTACCCCAGAGCCCTGCGGTTGCTGCCAGCGGGAGCCGGGCAAGGCCCCCCCAGCTCTGTTCTGTCCCCCAGTCCCGTGAAGCCTCAGAAAGCGCCAGAACATCAAACACACACACACCCCCAATCCTCGCCCAGTGCTTGCCCTGAGCCGCCCCACCCTCTGCAGCGGCACCAGCCTCACGTCCCGCCTCTTACCTGCTTCTCCACGGAAGTCATGAGAGGGCAGAGCAAGGCCCTGCAAGGACACCGGGGACCGGGGAAACGAATGGCAGGCTCCGGGTGCCCTGGCCTCTGGTAGGCCCGCCCCTGGCATCCATCCACCCAGCGTCACCGGCTGGAGGGGATGCAGGAAAGCCCCTCATGAAAATATGGGGGGTGGAGCAAAGAGAAAAAAGAGGAAGAGAGAAAGAAGAAACAGGCAGGGAGCGAAATAAATGAAAGGACGCATCCTTGCACCAAGAAAAGGATACTTTGTTGACCTGGGTGCTGAGACACCATTGCACTCACTTAGTGAAAATTCACAGAACAATACACTTACGACTTGTGCCATTTAGTTATAATTCAATAAAAAGTTCACAGCATTTCAAAACACCTAGGTCTCAGACTTCCTGGGGGGGAGGGGGGTAGATGTGCTCCTGCGGGTGACATATGTGCCTGTCTGCGCGTGTATGCAGGTGTGCGTGCAGGTGTGCGTGGGCATGTGTGGGCACGTGTCTAGGCATGGGCACGTGGATGCATGTGTGAGTGAGCGTGTGCGGGCAGCACATGTGCCCCTGTCGCTCTTGGAGCCGCCACGTCGCAGCGCGCGGCATGGCAGGGGGACCCGAGTCTGAGGCCCACTGGGCCCCGGGAGGTCAGGGCCCAGGGAAAGCGGCCGGGTGGGTGGAGAGGGACCCCCGGGACCCCCCAGTGCCCGGCGCGCCCAGTGCACCCGGAGTCTCGGGGTCAGGGTCGGGGGACCCCACGGCAGGGCGGGGTCCTCCGGGGGCGCTCCTACGGGCGGACCCAGGGCCTACCGGGCAGGGGACAGGCAAGCCCTCGAGAAACCGGGCCTGGGGGGCTCGGAGCGGCCTCCTACTCCGGCCCTGACCCCGCGACCTGTCGCTCCTCCCGCGGGGTGATCCCTGGGGTCGCGGCCGGGACTCGGGAGTCTACAGGAGTCATTAAGACGAGTCCGGGGTCGCCGCCGGTCCTCAAAGGTCAGCGGACTTAGACTGGGGGTCGCGGTCGGGACTCGGGAATCACCGGGACGACCCCCAAGGGTCCGAGGGTCCGATGCCGGGGCCGGGGCAGGATGAACATCGAGCGTCGGACTCAGCGACCCCTGGCCTTCCCCTTACGTAACCAACGTCTATCGCGTCCCCCTGGCCCGGCGTGACCTTCATAAGGTCAAGGCGGCCGCCGCGCCCCCCAGCCCGCAAGGCGCATGGGCGGGGCCCGGCTCCCTACATGCCCCGGGCGCGGCGAGCGGGAAGGGGAGGGACGTCGGCGGCGGCTCAGCCAATGGGCGCGACGCTCGAGGGCGAGGGGCGGGGCGCAAGCGGCTCCCGGCAGCCCGTGGGGGCGAGACGAGCGGGAAGGGGCGGGGCTTGTGCGGTGGCGCAGCCAATGGGCTCGGCGCGCGGGGGATCGGGGCGGGGCGTGGGCGCCTTAGCGGCTGCGCGCTGGCCACCCCGTCTTTTCGGTCCCGGCGGCGGCAGCGCAGACCAGCGGTGCCCACGCTCCGGCTCTCCGGGCCTTCCCTCCACTCTCTTCCCGCTGCGTTGCCCGCCTCGCCACCATGACGGAACAGGCCATCTCATTCGCCAAGGACTTCCTGGCCGGAGGCATCGCCGCCGCCATCTCCAAGACGGCCGTGGCCCCGATCGAGCGGGTCAAGCTGCTGCTACAGGTGGGAGCCGGCTACGCACACGCGGACGCCGGGCGAGGTGCGAGGGTCCGGGGCGCGGGGACAACGGGCCGGGCAGGCCGCGTGCACCGGAAGCGGGAGGCTGCGCCGCTTTGTCCGCGCGCCGCCGGCTTCCGGGGATTGCCCGGGCGCGCGTCACGTGGGCGCTATCGCCTGCGCAGAAATGGGGCCGCGGGCGCGTGCGCACTGGGCCTTGCGGCACAGGTCGGGGAACGCATGCGCATGGAGCAGCCGCGTGGACGGGCCCCGCGGGGCGAGGGCCGTGACCTTGGGCGGGTCACGAGGGCAGTCGTCGTGTCCTTCATTGGACTTCCGTTCTTTTCCCCTTTTTATTTCCCTTTTGCTGTTCTGAGTCAGAATAAGCTGTTATTGTTGCGGGATTGTTAGAAATGTAGCGCTAATGCAAACATTGTTGCTAGTTTGTTGTTGGTAACACTTGTAGGGACCCGTAGTGACCAAAAGATGCTTTTTTTCTGGTAGGACGTTTGGCCAGCTTAAAGGCCCCATGCACATGTTATCTTCCGAAGACGACACCTTCGTTGGGGGTTCTTGGGGGCGTCTGATTTAGGCCCTCGTGTAAAACCCCTGTCTCTGCCCCCAGGTACAGCACGCCAGCAAGCAGATCGCAGCCGACAAACAGTACAAGGGTATCGTGGACTGCATCGTGCGCATCCCCAAGGAGCAGGGTGTGCTGTCCTTCTGGAGGGGCAACCTGGCCAATGTCATCCGCTACTTCCCCACGCAAGCCCTCAACTTCGCCTTTAAGGATAAGTATAAGCAGATCTTCCTGGGGGGCGTGGACAAGCACACGCAGTTCTGGAAGTACTTCGCTGGCAACCTGGCCTCCGGCGGGGCGGCCGGAGCCACCTCGCTCTGCTTCGTCTACCCCTTGGATTTCGCCAGAACCCGGCTGGCGGCTGACGTCGGCAAATCCGGCACGGAGCGGGAGTTCAAAGGCCTGGGAGACTGTCTGGTGAAGATTACCAAGTCTGACGGCATCCGGGGGCTGTACCAGGGCTTCAGCGTCTCTGTGCAGGGCATCATCATCTACCGGGCCGCGTACTTCGGCGTGTATGACACCGCCAAAGGTGAGTGCGCTCTGCTCTCGGGGCTGACTGGACAGGTGTTGGGCGGGGGGCTTCAATAGCATGTCTGTGGACTCCCAGGCCTGGAGGCTGGAATCTGAGATCCAGGTGTGGGCAGGGCTGGTTCCTCCCGAGGCCTCTCTCTTGGGCTTGTAGACGGCTGTTTCCTCCCTGTGTCCTCACAGGGTTGTTCCCTTTGTGTGTCTGTGTCCCAATTTCTTCTTATAAGGACACCAGTCCTATGTGATCTGGACCCACCCTGATGACCTGATTTTTTTTACTTTAATTATCTCTGTAAAAGCTTTTATTTCCTAGTACAGTTACACTCTGAGGTCCTGGGGTTTGGGGCTTTAGTATATTTTGGGGGAGGACACACTTCACGCCCTGTGAAGTAAGTCACCCTGGTTGTCGGGGCCCAGGCCCGCTGGCACCTTTGCAGTGGAACGGGTGTGAAACCTTCCACTTGCCAAGGCCCGTCTGTTTCCCTCTAGAGAGGCCCCTGCCGCCGGGTACTGGGTTGGTCTCTGGGGCCATGCTCCCAGCCTGCAGGTGGCTTCCCCATCTCTGGCTGGTGTGCTGACCCCAGTGTGACCAGTCTAGCGTCACCTGGTGCTGGGATTCCCCGCGTGGAGATCCCGGGGGCCTCACGCCCACGGTGACCCCGCAGGCATGCTCCCCGACCCTAAGAACACGCACATCGTGGTGAGCTGGATGATCGCGCAGACGGTGACGGCCGTGGCGGGCGTGGTCTCCTACCCCTTCGACACCGTACGGCGGAGGATGATGATGCAGTCGGGGCGCAAAGGAGGTACCGTCTCCGCCCTGCTCCGGGCTGCCTGTGCTCTGGGGGTGGGGCATCGCTGAGTGGCCTGGCGTTCGGTCCTTCGGAGGTGCACAGCCAGCACGTGAGGTGCTCCGTGCCAGGCGGGGGGCGGGGGGGGGGGCGTGCAGCATTTGGTCCCAGAGGGAAGTAGCTGGGCTTCGTGGGGGAGGCCTGGGCCGGGTGCCTGCTCCTTCTCTGCTCTTGATCCTCGGGTGTGCTGGGCCCTAGGGAGGCTGGGGCTCGAGTTTGTGTTCGATCCCACCCAAACTGTGGGTGTCCAGAGCTTCCTTTTCCTGCGGTCGAAACGCCTAGCCACCCAGGTGGTGGCAGCTGGGGCCCCGCGTCGGCACCGTGTCTCTCCGGGGCCTGCTTCGCGCCTGTGTGATCCTCTCCGTGACCCCCGCCCTCTCCCCGCAGCCGACATCATGTACAGGGGCACCTTGGACTGCTGGCGAAAGATCTTCAAGGACGAGGGCGGCAGAGCGTTTTTTAAGGGCGCCTGGTCCAACGTGCTCCGCGGCATGGGCGGCGCCTTCGTGCTGGTCCTGTATGACGAGCTGAAGAAGGTCATCTAGGCGCCCTGCCCACTCGCCACAGCGACCAACACCTCCACATAGAGGAATACCTGTTACGGACCATCGACCTTCGAGAAATTCCAGTGTCCTCGCGGAGGGCTGGGGCGGCCCCGCAGAGGGCTCCTCGTGACCGTCGGCCCTGGGTCCATGTATTGATTACGGGGGGAGGGTAATCGTGACGTCTTCGTGGGTCCACAGGCGGTGAGGCACCTCTACGCGCCAGACCTAGATTCCAGGTGCTTGTAGGACCGACTCGTGTTTAAGTATTTATTTAAGAAAATCTTGTCTCCATTTGTACTTAAGCACTATTCTCTTTTGCACAGCTGAATGTTTAGTTATGTTCTATGTCAGGCGTTCTGCTGCGAAACAATAAAATTAGGACACACGGACGCTGGTTTTGTTTCTGAGTCGAGCGGCCTCGTGGGGTGGGAGCAGGAAACAGCAGGGTCTCAAGCTGGGGAGGGGGAGGCCCTGGCTGCCCATCTGTGGCCTGGCCTGTCCCAGGGGCCGCCCTCGGGTGTTGAGGGGAGCACGCAGATGCGGGGACCCTGGGGCTTCCTAACCTGAAGTTCCCTTGCCCCAGTGCCCGCCCTTCCAGGCCTGTCACGGGGGTTTAACCACAGAGAAGCCCCCCAGGGTGGTAGCAGCTGTGTGTCCCGTGGGCCACCCCTGCCCTGGACTCAGGGGAATCCCTTGCAAGGTGAGCGCGTGCGCCCTCTCAGGTGTGCCTGACCCCCAGCCCCAGGCAGGCAAGCATCCTTCCCCCCTTGCAGCCGTATCTGCAGGAAGCCTGACGTCTCCAGCGCGGAGAGAACTTGCTTTGAGCGTCTCTCCCAGGCTGGCCCCAGGGTCCTGGTGCGTCGTCATGGGGGAATGGGGTGTATTCTGGGGCTTGCTCTGGGTGTTCTCAGGGTCCAGGACTGTGCCTGTGGGGTCATCACCAGTCTGAGGCCTCACGGTCACACACACAGAGCCACCCAAGAACAGAACTGTCCCCTGGGTCCACGTGGAGCTTCCAGCACCAAGTGACCTTGAAGAGGTCAGACGGGTCCGCTGCAGGGGCTGAAGAGGGGAAGCCAGCTGCAGGCCACAGCAGGACCGCCCCGAGGCCAGCTGAGTTCATCGGAGAGCAGAGCTTCCATCTCCAGCCCAGGGTGAGGTCGGTCAGAGAAGACGAGCTGGAGCTGGCTTTCCCCAAGGTTACCTTGCTGGAGCTGGGTGGGGGACAGGACCGGCACCGGCCGCCACACGCCCACGTGGGTCCCGCCAGCCCCGGCTCCACAGAGGAGTCCTGAGTGGAGCTGGGTGGGGGACAGGATGGCACGGCCGCCACACGCCCACGTGGGTCCCGCCAGCCCCGCCTCCACAGAGGAGTCCTGAGGAGCAGCCTGGGCTTCTGACCCGCCTGTGCCCCAGCCCTTGGGGTGGAGTCACTTAGAACTGGGACATCGTCTGTCTACTGAGACCTGTGCTGACTGCCGGGGTCACACCTGGGACATGGTTCCACCCGTGTGCATTTAGGCCCATAGACTGTGCGCCATCCTGCAGACGCAGCAGGGGTGCCTTCCGCAAAGCTAGCAAGTCTGCATCTGCCGTTGGGGTTGAATTCTTTGCTACAGAACTTGACATGTTAAGCATGTAAACAAGGGAACGAAATTAGAGGTCCTCCAGGGAAGCCTTGCCTCTTGGAGACTCGGGTTCCCGTGGGCCAGGCAGTGCACGTGGGCGTACAGGTGGGTGTCTTCACTGCCCACCACGACCATGTCTGGACGCAGGGCCACACCTCTGCGCCTGCGGGCCCCCGAGGCCCACAGGCCACACTGCCCTGACACCCCCTTTCCTGCCGCCTTGACGCCTGTCTCCCATGTGCCTTCCCTGGGGTCGCACACGTAGCCAGGGGAGGGATGTAGACACCACCCCCCCCCCCGCAGCCCCGCGTTGTCACACAAGTGATTTAAGGGGCTTACAAAGGGGAAATGCAGCAAGAAAACAGTTCAAGACAGAGAAACCAGGCAGGCAGGGCCCCTTAACGGACTTGGGAAGGAGCAAACCCAGTGGGCATGTGGGCGTGCGAGCACCGGCCAAGTCCAGGAGGCTGGAACGTGGGGCTCAGCGGCGCTGGGGGGTGACCCCCACTTCCAGGGGTCACGGATGAGGAAAAAAGCCGTGACATGAGACATGAGCCCAACACATGTTTTGTTCTTTCTTCCTCGAGGTGACCCCGTGTCAACTGCACCGGGCTTTTCCATCCCTGACCCCGCTTGAAACATCCACGACCTGCCATGAGCAGGCTGTGCGCCCTCTGCCTGGCGGAAAACCGGGCCTCTGCACCAGCTTCATGTTTCCCCCAGAACCTGCACCTCGGCCACTGGACACTCCTCCTGGCTGTCTTGGTCGGGGTCCCAGGTCATCTGCGGGGTGAGGGAGGCGAGGTGAGTGCAGAGCCACAGTGGGGGCAAGTGCACCCTGGAAAGCCCCAGGGGCAGGGCCAGCGCAGAACACACGTCGGCGGGAGGCTCCCCAGGGGCTCCCGGACCCGCATCTCGAAGTGGCCGCCTGTGTCACAGGACCGGAGCCGGCTCCTCCCCTGCCCATCACATTCCTAGGCCACCCTCCAGGGCCAGCAGTGCCCTGCTCCCTGGGTGGGGCTGCAGGCACCTGGCACGAGATGTGTCCCCGGCGGGAGACCACGTACCGTCCTTCCGTTCTGAAGTTTGCCATTGATATGGTCTTTCATGTGAGGGATGGGAGGGAACAGCTTCTGCATCACCGAGAACCTCGGAGGAGAGAGAGACACCTGTTCTGAAACCCGCACCCACCAGCGGAGGGGAGACGCGGCGTCCACTAGAGCCCCAGCGAGGCCCCGATGTAGTAGGAGTGCAGCCTCCTTTGGGAGGGGTCCCTGCAGGAGACGTGCGGAAATGAGAAAGCGGAGCCCTAGCAGACCTGCATCTGCTCAGTCAGCTGCACCGCACCCACCTTGGCACCTCTCCCGAGACCCCATCCTATCACCATGGCAACCTTCCCACCCCACAGCCTCCGCGCCGAGCCGGTGGTCCCCTCCCTGGGTCGGCGTCCCATCCGCTCCCAAACCAAGCCCCTGGGCGGGGCGGCTCAGCCTGAAGCGGCTGGGAGGGGTGGGCGTGAAGCCAGCAGCCAGACGAGGCAGGAGCCGGCGCGCGGGGCGGGGCGGGGCGGGGCCTGTGCCGGGCGCACCCTTTCGGCTCAGCACGCAGGCCTGTGGAAGGGACCGCAACCGGCCTGGCTGACGCAGCCGCGCGCCTGCTGCCTGCCAGGCTGGGGAGGGGTCCCGGAGCCCCGTCCGGAGGAGCTACCTTTTCTAGGGTCGTTTTTACGGCTGCCCCAGGGAACCAAGACGGCCGCCCAAGAGAGAGCCCGGCCAGCCCCCCTTGGGAGACAGGAAGATGCCTGGTGCTCAGAGGGGCCTGGAACCTCAAGCTCCCTTTGCGTCTCAGCTCAGGCTCTTGGCATCCAAAGAAAAATATTCTTTCTAATCACTAGAAAGATTATTTCTAGTCGGCGTCGGGGTGAGGTGTGAGGGAGCGAACAGCGCGGGCATGTGGGGACCAGCAGACCCCCCACACAGGTGCTGGGGAGGGAGGGGCCCGCAGGGTGCTGCACGGGGGACCCGGCTCCTTGGGTTCCGCGGGCGGCAGGGACCAGGTGGCAGAAACCAGGTTCTGGTTGGCAAAAGACCGCTGGGGCGACGAGAGGCGGTGGCTTGCGACTGGCGGGGAAGCGTCCCGCAGCCCAGACGCACGGGTGCACGGGGCGGGGCGGGGGCGGCGGAGAGTGGGCAGCGCGGGCTGCCTGGCCTGCGGATCGCACTCCAGAAAACGACCGCGCAAACCAGGGGCCCGCGGGCTCACCTGCAAAACCGGAGCACGAGCCCCATAGCCAGCAGCGTCCCCAGGGCGATCAGCAAAGACGTCAGCCAGACGGGGAGGCGCGCGCCCTCCTCACACACTACGGAAGAGGGGCGGGACGCGTCGGGCAGGTCCCGGGAGGTCCGGGGTCAGCACCTCCACGGGGGCTCGGGGAGGAGGTGGCCGGCACGGGGGGCGGGAGGCGCGTCCAGGAGCGCCGTCCACCTGGGGACAGCGGCCACCTGCGCACCGGGCCGGGCCCCTCGGGAATCCCTCCCAAGTCGCCAGAATCCCGATGCCCCCCGACCACCGACCGACACTTGGAGTTGGGGGCTGGTGGCGCCGACCCCTCGGATCAATTCGGGTCGCGGGCCGGGGGGACGGGGGGTCAGCCACGCCCATCGGGAGGGGCGGGGCCGAGGTTGGTCTGTTCCCCACCTCCCTCCCTCCCTGCCACGCTGCGTCCTGGGTGCGCGCTGCCCTAGTTCTTGAATTTAATATACGGATTAAACATCATGGATTTTTCGCCTCAATTTCGATTCTTTTTTTAAACTGCATTAAAAGGTTTGTCTTGTAACTCAGAGTGTTGGCGATAGCCGTCTCCGCGCGCCTGGCGCAGCGCCATGGGACAGCTTGGACACACCATCACAGACGGGAGGGAGGCGGTCACAAGCCCAGGGACGTCGGGAGCCCCCAGAAGCTGGAAGAGACAGGAGGGACCCTCCCACTCACCGAAGTGTTGGGGGACACTCCACGGACCCCACGGTTTGTAATGGGAGAAGGTGGCATCCCTCGCCCTCACTTGCACCGTGTAGGTCCCAGGATTGTTCAGCTCCAAGAAGGCTTCATAGGTCTGCAGTTTAAGAGAAAGTAGAGGGGAAAAAAGTCCATTCGCAGTCCGTGGCAGAAGAATGGGGCCTTCAAGGGGCTGAGTGGGTCCTCCCCACATTCACGTGTTGGGGTCCTAACACTCAGCGTCTCAGAAGACGACTTTATTTGGAAATAGGGTTGATGCAGATGTGATGGGTTAAGAGGAGGTCGGATAGGGTACAGTGGACCCCTAGCCACTATGACTGGTGTCTTTATAAAGAGGGGAAGCTCGGAGACAGACACGTGCATACACACAGACACCTTGTGGATATGGAAGGGATACGGCCACAAGCCCGGGGATGCCTGGAGCCCCCAGGAGCTGGAAGAGGCAGGAAGGACCCTCCGCTGGAGCCTCTGGAGGGAGCGCGGCCCTGGGACACCTTGACCTCAGACGTCTGGTCCCCAGGACTGGGGGAGGGTGAATGTCTGTGGTTCTCAGTCACCCAGTCTACGGCTGCCCCAGGGAACTAAGACGGCCACCCAAGAGAGAGCCCGGCCAGCCCCCCTTGGGAGACAGGAAGATGCCTGGTGCTCAGAGGGGCTGGGAACCGCAAGCTCCCTTTGCGTCTCAGCCCAGGTTCTTGGCATCTAAATAAAAATATTCTTTCTAATCACTAGAAGGTCAGTATTCGTGGTGGCCACCGCTGGTGAGGTCAAGAAGAGTGGTGGCATCTCGGGTGTCAGGCAGAATGGAGCCTGTACAACATTCAGTGGGGTCCCCCCAAGAAGAGTTGTACCCCCAGAACCTGGGACCTTATTTGGAAACAGGGTCTCTGCAGAGGTGATGCAGTGAAGGGTCTGAGCTGAGGTCCTCCTGGAGGAGGGTGGCCCTACATCCAATGACAGGGTCCTTCTAAGACACAGAAGAGGAGAGACACAGACACAGAGGAGAAGCCCCGTGAAGAGAGAGGCAGAGACGGGAGGAAGAGGCAGAGACAGAGACAGAGAGAGACAAAGGAGAGACGGGGGCCAAGGGGTCTGTGGCCGGTAGTTGCGGTACGGAAGCAGCTGCCTCCGCAGGTTGGAGGCAGTTAGATAGTGAATTAGGGCGTGGTGACACTCCCACCGAATCCTGAGGGATTTGGGGGCCGGGGGGTGGACCTTTAGGGCAGCACCAGGCAGGTGATGGCACCCGGTCTATGGACCGGGGAGCTTCATCTCAGAGTCACTGGACAGTAATAGACATAAGGAGCCTGCGCTTGGGATGCCAGACTGGGGCGGGGGCGGGGGACACCCACCTCCTGTTTGTAGGCGAGCTCCGTACCCTGTAAGAGAAAAGCAGAGCATGGGTGCCTGACCCCATCCCCAGGAAGGGCCGTCATTTGTCAGAGCCTCTTCAGGTTTACAGAAAAGTCGAGGATAAAATAATCAGTCATTGAGTAGAAATAATAAATAGATACTTCTGTACACAAAAATAATAAATAGAGGCAACTGAGTATAACATATCGATGAACTAAAAAGTACCTGGGGGAGGGATAAATTAGGAGTTTGGGATTAACAGACACACACTACTATATATATATAATAGATAAATAACAAGGACCTACTGTAGAGCACAGGGAACTCTACTCACTATCTTGTAATAACTTATGATGGAAAAGAATCTGAAATATATATATATATATATAACTGAATATATACAGTTAATATGTGTATGTAACTGAATCACTTTGCTGTGACCTGAAACTAACACAACATTGTAAATCAACTATGTTTCAATTAAAAACAAAAAGTTGTTTAAGTACCTAGTCTTATGAAAAAAATAAAATTGATAGACTTGATTTTTTTGAGCTGTTTTGGTTAACAGAAAAATTGACCATATGCTAGTTGAGTCTAAATAAGAAATATAATACATAAATCAGTAGACAACAATAGTAAATGTAAGTAAATTGTAGAGTATAAAATACCAACTACCTCAGAAATATTTGGTCTTTTTAATCAGTAGACTTGACTTTTTTTGAGTGGTTTTGGGTTTACAGAAAACTTGAAGATAAGCAGTAATGGAGTATAAATCATAGGTATATAAATACATTGACATAATGAATAAATATAAGTAAATAATCGAGTATAAAAATACCAATGAGCTCAAAACTACTTATTTTCTTTTAATTTATGGACTAATTTTTTGAGCAGTTCTAGGTTTATAGAAGAGTTGAGTATGAAGTAATCAGAACATGAATATAAATAATAAATGCACACAAACAGGTAAATACACATAAAAGATAAATATAAGTAAATAGTTGAGTATAAGATGCTGATTAGTGCAAAAATATTTGGTCTTTTAAATTAATAGATTTTTTGAGTAGTTTTAAGGTTGTGGAAAAATTGAGTATAAGCAGTGATTGAACATAGATAATAAATAAATGTAATAAATATAAGTAAATGAGTATAAAATACTGATTGACTCAAAGTGCTCGGTCTTTTTTTAATTAATAGATTTTTTTCAATAGTTTTGTGTTTATAGAAAAATTGAGTAAACAGCAAGGTCCTACTGTGTAGCACAGGGAACTATATTCAATATCCCGTGACAAACCATCATGGAAAAGAATATGAAAAAGAATGTACGTATGGGTATAACTGAATCACTTCGCTGTATAGCAGAAATTAACACAACAGAGTAAATCAACTATACTTCAATAAAATAAAAAATGAGTACAAGCAGTTATTGACTATAAATACATAAACAATAAATAATTACAAGTAGACAATTAAGTACAAAATACCACCTAGCTCAAAAATAGCTGGTCCTTTTTTTTTTTAATCTATTGACTCCATTTTTTTGAGCAGTCTTAGGCTTATGAAAAAGTTGAGTGTAAAGTATAAATAAATGTAACACGTACAGAAAAATAAACATAGTCAATAACTATGACAGTCACTGAGTATAGAATACCGGTGATCTCCAGCATATTTTTTTAACAGTAGCTTTATTCAGGTATGATTTGCATACAGCAAAGCACACCAGCAGAGCATATAATCTGCTGACTTTGGCAAACGTGTGCGTGAAACCGGCACAATACAGGAAACATGTCCATCACCCCCAAATTCCCTCCAGCTTCTCCTCCATATGCCCTCCTCCCTGCGCCCCTGCCCCAGCCCTCAGATCTGTCCCTACAGAGCATCCTGAGTTTTCCTGTGTAAATCGTTTCTTTTATGACACTTTTAAACATACACAAGGGACCCTCCAGTTCTTGGTGGCTAGGATTCCGCTGCGTGGCTATATTTTGTTCATCCCTTCCCTAGGGTTGTGTCCTGTTTAGGGACCATTATACACGTAGGTGCTACAAACACTTAGGTCCCATCTTTGGGGGGCTACTGGTTTCATTTCTCGCAGGGGAATTGCAGGCTCTGTGACATACGGTCAGACAGAGTTTCACCAAGTGGCTGTTTCAACCTTTTGCTCTTTTTCTGTAGGGTTATCTTCTGCGTGTTGACAGGTAAACATCCCTCCTCTACCCCAAGCCTGACGAAAGTATGCAAGCATTCCCTTCCATATTCTGATTCCTTTCCAACGTCAGCGGTGTCACTCAAACGCCAAACACTTGGAGTTTTGCTAAAGCTCATTTATTTTACAGTTCCTCTGGTTTTTTTTTTGTTTTGAATGTTTCACCTACCCCCAAAGCCCCGGAGTCCAGGGGGATGTAAGAGTATAAGAGATGCCCACCCAGGAAACCGCTTACCTTCTGTATCTGCAGTTCATACTTGAAGTCATCATTAAGGTGACTCCTCACTTGCCACTGCATGAACGAGTAGCTTTGGTTACACCACCTGCTAGTGATGTTGGGAGCAGCTAATACCTCTAGGGAGAAAAAAAAACACTTTTATGAGTAAAGCACATCAAAAAAGAATTTCTTCCCCCACCCCCCCGCCCAGAGATACTTTTAAAAGAGGCCTCCTACAAGCTGAGGGGGTGGGGGGGGAAAGAGAGGAAAATGTCATTCCAAGGTTAAAAAGTATCAAGAGACAGAGACAAGTGAGAGAAAACTGTTTGCATGATTAGGGTCACTGAGCCTGCGGACCAGCTCAGACACTGGCCCGGGGGGACCCCTCACCCCCTCGGAGGCCCTTGCAAAGCTTTCTTCTCGTCTGTGCAGGGACACCCCTCAGAGCAGCGCTGTTCTTTTCCCTCTCGGCGATTCCAGTCCCTGGGACTACGCTTCTCCAGCAGGGGGAGCAAAGCGCGGTCCAGCTGCAAGGTCCCGCCCTCCTGCCCACTGGACCAATCGGCTCTGCTCAGACCCCACCTCCAGGGCAGCTGGCCCCCCCACGAGCTGCCCGGGACCAGTCCTGCCCCCATGACTTTGGCCGCCAATCCCACTCCCAAAAGTTCTCCCGGAATCTTCTGCCCCCGCCTTGGACTCTGACCGGGTCCCACCCCCTGCTTCCTTCTCACCTGCCACCCCCAGCGTGGGACCCAGCTCCTCCAGGACCCTCGGGCCCCCTCTGTGGGCTGTCCCAGGGCTCCGCCCTTTGCCCTCCCTGGGGTGGTGTGCATCCCTGATTCCGGCTCCATCAGTTTCCTGAGGGACGGCGTCTAGGTCTACAGGTCTGACCCCCCGCCAGGCCCCCACTGGTGTCTGCCCAGGCTCCCCCCCACTGATGTGCCCTCAAACCTCCGGCCACCTCCACTCCCACTGCCACACGGGCTGGCATCACCCCGCCACCCCTGCTGGGAACCAGGCCGTGGACACCCCACGTGGACAGCAGGGCTGGGGCCGGAGCACAGTGCGGAGTTGCGGGCGGGGCTACACGTGTAGGGCTGCACTCGCCCAGGGGCGCGTGGTGTGTGAGGGACGTGGCATCAGAGTGAGGTTGGCTCCGGGCCGGGGGGGCACCACAGACAAAGGCAGGAGCCGCATCCCGGCTTCTGAACCGGAGGCCCCCATCTTCTCCCCTTTTGCACCTACCTCTCCGCTCATATGCTTCCCTGCTACACGTGGACCAGCCAGGGTGGTGAGGGGCCAGGTTTCATGGGGCTTGAAGCTGTCCTAGTTTGGGGGGCAGTGGGGTCTAATTTAAAGTAAAAAGTATTGACAGAGCTTTGCTAAGATGGGTTTTGTGTTCTGAAAACCTGCCGTCGATAGATTCAAACAAAAAGAATAACTATTTTTGAGCTATTTTTGAACACAGGGCCTGGAGAGGGGCGACCGGTGTGAGACCCCCAGCCTCACGGTGCAGCTGTCCTCGGTGGATGGGGGGCACAGCGCCATCTGCTAGGTGTGTTCTGGAAATGCTTCCTTAGGTCCCGGGAACACAGAGCAGCTGCTGTGAGCTAGGTGTCTGTGTCTCCCCAGATTCACGTACGGAAGCCCTGACGCGCAGTGGGACGGCTTTAGAGGCAGGGCCTCTGGGACACAATCGGGGTTAGATGAGGTCCTGAAGGTGAGGCCCCCATGATGGGATCAGTACCCTTATAATCAGAGCAAGGGGGTGTGGGATGAATTGGGAGATTGGGACGGACATACGTACACTAAGATGTGTACCACAGATACCTAATGAGAACCTGCCGTACAGCACAGGGAACTCTACTTCGCGTTACAGCAGAAACTAACACACACTGTAAAACAACTCTACCCCAATAGGAAATAAGAATAAAAAAGAAGTGGGGGAAGAGGCACCAGAGTTCGCTCTCCACTGTGTGAGGACACAGCAAACACGCAAGGCAGGAAGAGGGTCTCGCCAGGAACTGACGTGCCCACGCCCCGACCTGCGACTCCCAGCCCCCAGGACTCCGGGAGAGGAGTGTGGCGTCTAAGCGCCCAGCCTCGGGTATTGGGTTTCAGGACGGCAAGCAGCATCTCCGCGGAAGTACGGCACACGGAGCAGGGTCCCATTTTCTTACTCACCGATTTTGGCTAGTCTATCACTCGTCTCAGAGCAGGGAATTTTGGAACCGCTGCCGGTACCATTCACCAGGAAACGCGTCAGATCCTTGGATAACACAGAGATGTTGTGAAAACGGCACTGGACGTGTGTCCCTTGCTCGTCTGCTCTGTACTGGGAGCACGGCCACTTCTCATAGGAGCTGTGAGGGGTGCGGCTGCGTCATGAGCGGCCCTGAAGCCCCCGCTCCAGCCCGGGGGAGCCCCGGCGAGCCCAAGGTCACACCTACTCCAGGTTCTCCAGGTAGAGATGGTACTGCACGTCCCTCGGGGCCTCCCGGCCCACCGCCCAGCTGCACGTCAGGAAATCCACGTCGTGAACCCAGCAGGTCAGGTTTTCTGCAGCCGCCCTGGGATTCCCTTCTGGGCTTGCAAAGAAGAGGGAAAAAAACCAAAACTGAGTCCCGGATAAACACCAAGGTCCTACTGTAGAACCCAGGGAACTATATTCAATATCCTGGGATAAACCATCATGGAAAAGAATATGAAAAAGAATATTTATGTATAACTGAGTCACTTTGCTGGGCAGCAGAAATTAACACAACGTTGTAAATCAACTATACGTCAATAAAATTTTAAAAAAAAGTTTTTTAAGTGAGTCTCTTTTTAGTGATCCTTGTGAATTCTCACGCGGTTCTAAGAAATAATAGAGGGGCTTCCCTGGTGGCGCAGTGGTTGAGAGTCCGCCTGCCGATGCAGGGGACACGGGTTCGTGCCCCAGTTCGGGAAGATCCCACGTGCGGTGGAGTGGCTGGGCCCGTGAGCCATGGCCGCTGAGCCTGCGCGTCCGGAGCCTGTGCTCCGCAACGGGAGAGGCCACAGCAGTGAGAGGCCCGTGTACCGCAAAAAAAAAAAAAAAGGAAAAAGAAAAGAAATAATAGACACATCCATGTAGCGCTTACCCTTTCTGCAGTGGTAACACCTCCCCTCCCTGCAAGGCTCCCCGCCCATGGCCCGCCCCCCCGTGACCCCATATACCCTTACCAGACCCCTCCTGCCCCCAACCCTGCCCACCTAACCCTAAGCCTAAGAAACGCCCAACAGTCTTCTGGAACTTTCTTTCTTTCTCTTACTAGTTACTCCTCAGCTAAAGTCCGTTGCCATCAGAACCCTATTTTTAAGAAGTGACGTATTTTGGATGAAACCTGGATCAGCTAGAGTCACGGAAGACATTTTTGTTTTTTTTGCGGTACGCGGGCCCCTCACTGCCGTGGCCTCTCCCGTTGCGGAGCACAGGCTCCGGACGCGCAGGCTCAGCGGCCATGGCTCACGGGCCCAGCCACTCCACCGCACGTGGGATCTTCCCGGACCGGGGCACGAACCCGCGTCCCCTGCATCGGCAGGCGGACTCTCAACCACTGCGCCACCAGGGAAGCCCCATTTTTTTTTTTTTAATGAAAGAGGAAAAGAAAAATCCAACAACATAAACTGTATTTCCAACAATTCGGAGCCAGAGTTTATCTTCCTCGTTTCCCCATTCTCAGAAGAGCACAGTTTTGTGATATTCCAACTTCCTGACAAAGAGCGCAGGAGGTGTTCAGACTTGCTACTGGTGTTCTCTCTGTCCAAACCGTATATGGGATCAGACAATCTGTTTGCTTGGCATGAGGAAAATGATAAAACTCTGTTCTCAAACTAAAAAGACAAAACAAAACAAAAAAGCAAAAACACAAAAACCAACAACAACAAAACCACTCTATGTTTCTACAGCTCCATTCATTCAGGCAGGTGCCGTGTGTGAAATTGCGTGAGACCCTCCGAGATGGTCTTTTTCCCACGAAGCTATGTCCCTGGAGACCCATCCAAGGTAAAAGCCATTATTTTGGTATTCAGAGCACTAACGGATGATTGAAAGCAAAGAACACCCTGAAAGAGCATCTTCCCCTCACCTTGACTAGGATACTGAATCCACGTGGAGAATGGCTGACCTTTGGTCACCCTGATGCTGTAGTTTGTAGCTTGGCATGACAAGTCAGAAATATTGCAATACGTCCTTTTCCGTGCCTGAGAGAGACAGAGCAATCTATTATTGCTCTGTCCCTAATTATTATTACCAATCATAATTAGGGGAGAACTAATAAAACACTGAGACTTTAGATTTAAAAAAGAAAGAAAGAAAACTATAGGTTTTCTTTAGTTTTCCTCAACATCCAAAGCCAGAGTCTCAGTATGCAGAGAGAGAGAGGGAGAGAGGGAGATGAAAATGAGGAAATCACTCACCAAAAGGAAAAAAATATCCTAGAAGGTTCTAAGACAGAGTTGGCAGAATGCCTTGATATTTTGAGAAGATATTTAGCCATTTGGCCAAGAAGGTGATGGTAAAGTAGTGATGGACAAACTGGGCAAACAGATAAAACCTTAAGGAAATGGAAATGATTAAATTTAGGAGAAACAAACATTTGTGTAAGACAGGAAAGAAAAATCCCCACTAACCACATGGCTCAGGTGTGAATAGTGTTTATATGGTTATAATAAACTGAATACTTGTCGAGAGAGGAGAGAGTGTGAGCTGGGGATGGCAACTGCTGGGGAGGTGAGTTGTGCATAGGAAATAGAGAGTGAAGCCTCCTGTCCCTTATGAGAAAAATCAACACATTTTGGCTAAACGGAATGAATCAAGAATTTGTGTTATAGAGAGATGCAGAGGTCTAGAACAACAGCATCAGGTGTAAAACGGTAAAAAGTGATGTCTCACTGAAAAGCTGCTATTTTGTTATAACGAACCCCGTACGACTATTTTCCTCTTTAAACTCTGTGCAGGTATTGCTTTGATTTGAAAACAAAAAACAGAAAGCAGGAAAAGAGGGCTTCCCTGGTGGCGCAGAGGTTAAGAATCCGCCTGCCGATGCAGGGGACACGGGTTCGAGCCCTGGTCCGGGAAGATCCCACATGCCGCGAGCAACTAAGCCCGTGCGCCACAACTACTGAGCCCACGTGCCACAACTACTGAAGCCCGTGTGCCTAGGGCTGTGCTCCGCAAGAAGAGAAGCCACCGCAATGAGAAGCCCATGCACTGCAATGAAGAGTAGCCCCCGCTCGCCGCAACTAGAGAAAGCCCGCGCACAGCAACGAAGACCCAACACAGCCAAAAGTAAATAAATAAATTAATTTAAAAAAAATTTCTCGGTTCTTCTGCAACATTTGTTCTTGCAGATAGAGTTTAGGGTCAACTGGCCGAGCTCCATTAAAATCCCATAGGGGTTTGTCATGAACTGGATTGTGCCCTACCCGCCCCGCAAAAAAAAACCCTCACATATTGAAATCCAAACCCTTAATGGAAATGTATTTGGCGTTGGGGGTCCTTAAAGAGGGGATGAAAGCAAAATGAGATCATTAGGGTGGGTCCTGATCCCATAGGACTGCTGTCCTTATGAGAAGAGGAGATCAGGACACAGACACACACAGAGGGACGACCACGTGAGGACACAGGGAGGAGACGGCCGTCTACACGCCCAGGAGAGAGGCCTCGGGAGGGACCAGCCCTGCCCACGCCTGGATCTCAGATTCCAGCCTCCAGGACTTGGGGAGACACATGTCTGTTGTTTACGCCGCCCCGTGTGCAGCAGCAGCCCAAGCGGACTAACATAGGGTGTGATTGGGTTGTATTCAGTTGAGAGTCATTTGAGGGAACCAGGGTTCTTCCCAAGGACGCGGACAGGTGCGTCCTTCTCATGAAACATGCTCAGCGGTTGGCATTCTCACCACGGCCTCTGCCCATGAGACGTGTCACAGTTCTCACGCCCTCCGAACCCTCTGATACAGGAGGGATTTGAGTGGGGGGCAGGGGATGGTGGAGGGGGACAGTGTTTCCCGAGGTCTCACTTTCAACTGGGCTTGGTTCTCTACCTGCAGTATCTCAGCCCATTTCCACACCAACCCTCTCCGGTGGGTACCATTCTGGATGTCTTACAGATCAGGAGCCCCAAGTCGCAGTGCCCGTAAAGGACCCCACATTCCACAGCTGAGCCCAGGAGTAGAACCCGTGTCTCTGTGATGCTATGTACAGGGAAGACGGTTTACCTTAGCGAAAGCTTTTGAATTGATGAAACACATAATTTCGGAAACGTTTCCATGGAGGTCCCAGGTCAATCTTTTTCTTTCTGGCTCCATCCTTAGGTTCTTAATTGGTGGGTCTGGATCGGAAATGTCTATAGGGTAAGGGTCTGGAGAGAGGCACACAGCGCTTAAACTTTGTCCTACTCAGTTACCCCTTGGGAAGCTGAGTTCCACACGGAGAAGTGGTTGCCTGAAGCAGGCAGAGGCCCCGAATCTGTAGTACCTTAGTGAGCTCACCAGCTCACCCTCCCAACAATGGGGGGAGAGAGTCAGAAAAGCAGATCACTGCTGCCGTCCGCGTTGATGGGAAATGTACCTTTCTTAAGCATGTATGTCAAAGAAGGTCGTTTTCACTGAAAACCAATTCAGGCTGAGAGAGTTGGCTCAGTGTCTGCTCTACAGACTGAGAATTCGGAATGCTTTGCAAGTTGCAATAGAAATTTTAATGTAGGGACTTCCCTGGCGGTCCCGTGGTTAAGACTTCGCCTTCCAATGCAGGGGGTGCGGGTTCGATCCCTGGTTGGGGAGCTGAGATGCCACATGCCTCGGGGCCAAAAAACCCAAACATAAAACAGAAGAAGTATTGTAACAAATTCAATAAAGACTTTAAAAGTGGTCCACAACAGAAAATCTTAAAAAAAAAAAGAAATTTTAATGTGATATATTAAAAATATACAAACTTATATACAAGTATATATAATGGAGTATATATTTATATATATATATATATATATATATAAAGTAGGAGACCTGATCTTTACACAATGATATTTATGTTCTTACACAGAGTGCCAGAGGAATTCTCATCTTCTTGGAAAACCACCCAAAATGCGTACATCTAAATACATTTTGAAGTGCAATCAAAGCACATATATATTCGTATGATGCTGTCAATGGGGACGGAGGTCAGAGTTTGCAGACCAAAGGATTCGATGTGTTTTATCAGTGACTTGCTTCATGAAGCAATCACATAGGACCAATAACTCAAAGTTATAAAGGTCCATCAGATATTTCTTCAGCTGTTATCTGTGACCCCCTCATTTAGAGGATTTCGCAGAAATGACTGTTTATAAACCGCAAGTACTGTGATCAGTTATCAGGATCAACAACCTTAGTTTGACAAGCAAGACCAAATCCTGTGAATATCCTGGTTTCTGGCATTACGGTCTCCCAACCTATAAGGATAATTTATTCCTTAAAAAACAACTTCCCTAGGGAAATTTCTTAAAAGTGAAAATGTAATTTTTAATGGATTCTTATGCCTCAGAATTTATATTCACTTCTTCCAAAACAACAGTAAATATCATTAAAACAGCTATGAGTGATGCAGTAGAAAATATGAGTTTTAGCGTATTTTTATTACATTTAAGTTTGTTTTTAATTTTTATAGCTTTATTTACAACTTTAATTATTTTATTTTATTTTGTTTTTTGTTTTTTGTTTTGTTTTTTTTTTTTTTTTTGCAGTACATGGGCCTGTCACTGTTGTGGCCTCTCCCGTTACGGAGCACAGGCTCCGGACGTGCAGGCTCAGCGGCCATGGCTCATGGGCCCAGCCGCTCCGCGGCATGTGGGATCCTCCCGGACCGGGGCACGAACCCGCATCCCCTGCATCGGCAGGCGGACCCTCAACCACTGCGCCACCAGGGAAGCCCACAACTTTAATTATTTTAAAATTAAAATTTTAAAATAATCTTCATAATCTAATAGGAAATGTACTTATATAAAATTATATATATTTATATAAATAAGTCCATATATATTTAAATCACATAACAAGGGAGTTTTCTGTCACTATGTTTTCCATAAAGTCTACCTGTGCTCCCTTAGAGTGGTTATTATCTACCCAATTACAGTTGTGCTCACAAATAAAAAAGAACTTTAATGCAAACAGAAGAAAGTAAACGCAATCTGTAAAGACAAAATGAAACAAAATCAATGCAAATACACATACGAGTGTTTACTGCAATATACTCGTGACCCTCCAGTGCTCTGAAAGAAAAGGGACATAGTGTTCTCAACCCTAGAGCTTTTGAAAAACTATAGATGGTGGGAAATACTCTTCCAGCCATGGTAAAGTAGTCTCAGATGTATCTCTCGCCATAAGCCCCTAGAAAATGGCCAAATATATAAAGCAACTATTTTTAGACTTTCTGAAAACGAAGACAAACAATTCTGAGAGTGTATTTGGGGGTGGAAGACATTCACAATCCAATGGGACAAGGTGGAGATTCCTTGCTGAACACTGAGAAGTCAGTAAAGACCCCAGAAGAGTCAGGCCTTTGTTGTCGGAGAGAAGAAGCTAAAGGTGACTCACCTTGAAAAACTTCAAAACAAGGCGACCCACCAATAAAGGAACGGCCTGCTGAAACAAAACTCACCATCTCTAAAGAAGGCAACCAAAGAAGACCCTCACCAACTCATCCTTCACAATATCCAGCACCCAATAAAAAATGACTAGACACGCAGAGAAGCAGGAATGTGTTGGCTGTGACCAGAAGAAATGTCAGGTCATAGAAATCGTCCCCTGAGTGGCTGACGATGAAATTAACAGAGACGTCCATTAAAACAGCCACTATAAATGTGTTAGAGGACTTGAAGGAAAACATGAACACTATGCAGTGAGGAATGGAAGCTATAAAGGAGGAACCAAACAGAATTTTTAGAGGTAGAACATATAGCATCTGAGATGAAAAAATTCACTTGGATGAACTGGAAGACAATGGAAATGATCTACGCCGAAGCCCCCAAAGAAAAATATTTGAAGAAATTGTGGCCAAACATTTCCTAACTTAATGAAAATTATAAACCTACAGGCCCAGGACGCTCAAAAACCCTACTAGGATACACAGACACACAGGTACCAACAAACACAAACGCTAAGACGCATCGTCCTCAAATGCCTTTTTAAAAAGTGGAATCAAGACAATCTTACAAAACCAACGGAAAAAAGGCACCGCACCTATCAGAGAACAAAGATGAGAATTTCTGCTGATTTCTCTTCAGAAACAATGGGAGACAGAAGGTGACAGAACGCCTTCTCCCCATGCTGCAAGAAAACAGTACAAATCCTGGTCAACCTAGAATCTATATCTTAGCGATCAATGGAAGGTGAAATATAAAGACTTTATAGTGACAAAAAGTGAAAGGTTTTTTTTTTTTGTATTTTTGTATTTGTTTGTTTTTTTGCCAGAAAAAAAACCAGAAGAGCAGGTCTGTAAGAAATGTTTTCAAAAAAGGCTTTTGTGGCTGAAGGAGAAATCAGCAGATGGACACTCACGAAGGAATGTGGAACCCAGGTGAGCAGAGATGCAACAAAAGCATACCAGAAATAGTAGGAATGTAGGCAAACCGGAAAGCTTTCCCATTTTTTTAAGGTTTTAAAAAGATAATTCTTGAAAAGAAAATATTGTATTGTGTATTGTGGGCTTATAGAGACGTAGAAGTACATGTGTGACATGGCACAAAGGATGAGGCAGGAAGTAAACGTATACTGTTGTGAGATTCCTATGTTCTGTGTGAAGTAGAATAACATTATTTGAAGAGAGTATGTACTGAATGAATCATCCCAGGGGAACCACACAAGCCGTGGAACAAAGAGGGCTAGCCCAAAAGCCAACAGTAGAGAAAAACACAAAAACAAGAAAAGCACTAAAAAAGTAACTGGAAAGAAGTCAGGAAAGGAGGGGCGACAAAAAGAAAAAAAAGAAAAACTGAAAAAAAAAACCCAGCAAACAAGTAGCAAAATGGTAGAATTAAAGTCAATCAGCTTAATAAGTTCATTGCATGCAAATGGTCTAAACACTCCAGTGAGAAGGAAAGGTTTTCAGACTAGACTTTAAAAGTACCCCACAGTACGCTGTCTGCACGAAAGGTACTTTAAATATAGTTTAAATGGCAATAATAGGAAAGCATATTTTATGCAAGCTCCAATTGTATAAAACCTAGGATTTTATCCCAGGATTTTATTTCCGGGGGTAAGAAGGGACCATTTCAAGCGATTAAATGGCCAATTCATCCTAATATATGTGCTCTCAACAGTCATTTTGAAAATACATGCGGCATAAGCACCACCTCCCTCTCTAATAGAACAGATAGAATACGGGAGGGATATACAGGACTTGAACAAAATATCAACAATTTGACCTAATTGACATTGTGGGGACATTCTAACCAATGACGGCAGGGTGCACATTTGTTTTTGTTTTTTTTTTGTCGGGGGGCGAGCCGCACGGCTTGCGGGATCTTAGTTCCCTGACCAGGGCTGGAACCCGCGTCCCCTGCAGTGGAAGTGCAGAGTCCTAACCACTGGACCACCAGGGAAGTCCCAGGATGCACATTTTTATGAACTACAGACAGAAGATTCATCAAAATAGACCGTGTACTGGCATGGGGAGTGTCAGTCCTTTTAAAAAGGTTTAAATCATTCACTGTGTATATATTCTCTGACTACAATTCTCTCTTGATTAAATTCAAGATCACTCTTTTAAAATCTGGAACACACCAGATATTTGCAAACAAAATGACAAAGTGATAAATTACCATGTGCATCTTAGAAGAAATCACAGGAAATGTAGAAAATATTTTGAACTGAATGAAAATGAAAGAAAAAAAAAGTGCGACGCAGCTACAGCAATGCTTACAGGGAAATTTATAACATTACATGTTTAGGTTAGGAATAGAGTTTAAATTCAAGAATCAGTTTCCACATGAAGACGTTAGAGAAAGAAGAACAAATTAAACTGAAAAGAAATTAAGCCTAAAGCAAAATCCCTAAAAAAAATAAAGGGAACAAAAAAAAATCAGTGAAAAAGAAAATGGAAAAACTATATAGATTGTCAAGGAAACCAAAAGCTGGTGCTATACAAGAGACAATATAATGGAAAAACCTCTCTTGCTACACTGATCAAGAAAAAAACAAAAAAAGACCAATTTTAGGAATGAAAGAGGGGACACTGATACACATCCTGAAAGACATTGAAAGAAGAATTGGGGGTAATTTGAACAAAAGTTATGCCAATACCTTCAACGATGTATGACATGAACCAGCTTCTTGAAAGACACACATTAGCAGTACTGACATAAGTGGCAAACCTGAGTAACCCTGTAAGTATTAAAGGAGTAGAATATATAATGAAAAAGCTTCCCCGGAAGAAAGCATCAGGCACAGATGGGCTTGCGGCTGAATCCCACCAGCAATTTAAAACAGAAACAGTAACAATGTGCAGAAACTTTCCGAAAACAGAGGAAAGGCGGGAAACATGTTCTGACTCACTTTATGAGGCCAGCGTTATCCTGATACCAAAATCAAAACATTAGAAGTAAACTGAAACCGAAAACGCCTTATACTCCCGGACACCAAATTCCTTCACAGAATACTAGCCCAGAAAATCAGGTAAAGTACAAAAGTGGTAACACCTCCTGACCCAACGGATTTACTCCAGGAATATTATAAGGCTATTTTAACCATCGCTATAATGGGCCCCTTTAACAGAAAACTGGTGATCGTATCCATAGAAGCAGGAAAACCTTTTGACCATGTTTAACACCCCTTTGAGACGAAAAACTCTCAGCAAACTAGACAGGGACGAAAACGTCCTTCCCCTGATAAATCTGTGAAAATCCTGGCGCTAATTCAGACTCAGTAGGGAAGGACTAACCACTTCTCCGTACGATTCGAACAAGACAAGGTGTCTGGTTTCAACGCTTCTATTCCACCGTGTCCTGTACCCACGGCCTCTCTAATGCACTTCGACCAACGTTGTAGTTTTAGGGCGCTTTGGGGGGAAATGTTAGAACGGTACAACACGCTCCCTGCTTCCTTCAGCGTTTGGCTCCTAGAAAGCTACTCACTTCCTGCCTGTGGTCAGTGACCCCAGAATGCCCATGGGCCTGAAGCCACCACAAAGGTGGCAGCTGCCTCAGCCCCGTACAAGTGGGGCAAAGACGGGGGGCGGGGGTGGGAGCCTCAGGCGTGGAGAAAGCCCCCTCCCCTCCCAGACCTCCTGCATCTCCCGGCCCCTCTGGTCACCAGGTGCGGCCACGTGACTGACTTGGAGTCCAGGAAATGGACAGAAGCAATGTGTGGTCCTTTTAGTTCAGACCTGTAAAAACTCCCGTGTGATCCGTCTACAAACTCCTCCAAGGAGATGATGGAGCTTCCCAGGTCCATCCGTATGTAAGGATCCCGGGTCTGTACATGGAACAGAGCCCCCTGGGATGGAGTAAACTGTGTCCTTTCCCCAGCCCTCCCCAAATCATGCTGGAGTCCTAACCTCAGAACGGGACCTTAGCTGGAAATAGGGTGAGTGCAGATGTAATTAATTAAGATGAGGTCTCGCTGCCATACTGTGGCCCTAACCCAATCCGACTGGTGTCCTTATTAAGAGGGGAAATTTGGGTACAGGTACACACCCGGGGAGAACCCCCTGTGAAGACAGGAGGGAGGCAGCCACAAGCCCAGGGACACCTGGAGCCTCCCAAAGCTGGTAGAGGCGGGAAGGACCCTCCCCGGGAGCCTCTGGAGGGAGCGTGGCCCTGGGACACCTTGACCTCAGACGTCTGGTCTCCAGGACTGGGATAAATAAATGTATGTCACTCAAGTCCTCCAGACTACGGTATTTTGTTAAGGCAGCCTGAGCTGAGTAAGCCAGCAGTCCCCGGAAGAATGATACCTATGCCCTAACACACACACACACACACACACACACACACGCACACACACACACTCACACCATCTGAACTCCACTACTCTTTGAGGAAGGAACGAACTTCTCATGGTTAGGCAATGCTGTGGCCATCACAGCGGCACAGGGCGCGGCGCCTGATGCAAGCACCCAGCGTCCGTGGTGAGGGGGTGCACTCTGCTCCCATTGCCTGAAGCGCTGCTCCACATGTGCGTGTTGTGCGAGCTGGACAGGAGGCTTGGTCACTGTCCCGGGTCCACCGGTCACTCAGCGAAGCCCTGATGGGAGGGGCTTCTCTGCAGACCCTCCCCAAGGCAGCATGCCCGCCTGGAGGGCACCATATCTCTTGTACTCCTGTAAGCATCCAGGTCTTTGCACCCTGAGTTGGGCGCCCTCACTACTGGGCGCCCAGGAAACGTAGACTCTCCATACCCCGGGGCGGAGGGCATGGCTCCCCTTGGGGGTTCTGCTGCCTGGTGGTGGGCACTCTCCACTGGCTCTGCACCCTGCCCCACCTGGGATATTCTCTCCCAGCCACACCTGTCACCCGAAGTCAGCCGGACACTGACAGTCAGAGGTGGGCACGGCAGCTTAAGAACCTACATCACTGTCTTTTCACCTCCTTATCGTGTGTCACGGTCGAACTTCACTATCACGTCGCGAATTGTTTCCTACCCATCACCACCATGCTTGAAGATGGTGGGAACTTCCTGGACGCCACGGAGACCCTGGTTTTCACCCTACCCCCCATAAATCTCCGTTACAAATGTGAGAAAAACAGGATGGAGTTGCCCCAAAAGCATCTTACTCGTTGCTCATCTGCCTGTCCAAGCTCCAGACGACGCATCTCTCATGACACCTGGATTTTTATCTCCCGGTCCCGGAGGCCAGGATGCTATAGGATTGGTTCTTCCCACAGACTCAGAGGGAGAATCCGTTCCAGCTGGAGAACCTCTGCAGCTTCTGGGAGCTGCCCTGCCCCAGTCCTAGGCGTTCCTGCACTTGTGACTGCATCACCCCAATCTCTCCTCTATCGCCACCTGGCTTCTCCCTGTGTCCATGCCTGGGTCCAAATCTCCCCTCCTCGTAAGGACACCCATTGTTCTGGACGGGGATCCACCCACGTGACCTCATCTTAACTCAGGGACGTCTGTAAAGACCCTATTTCCAAATAACTCCGGTTGACAGGTTCTGTTCGTTAGGACTTCAGCGCATGAATCTGGCGAGGACCCAGTTCAGCCCATCACCCTAATGTTTCCACGGGGTTCTTCCGACCCAGAGAGAGGGTGACAATACATCCAAGCACACTGCCGGGTCCCAGCGCCGTAGCTACACCCCGAGCTCTGGACGTAGTGTCTTGACCATATCAGGATGAACATCCTGTCTGTGAGGTACCAGTTTTGCAAGATGAACCCGCCGGGGTGACTGAGGGGAAGGCTACGTGGGAAGTGTCTGCACTATCTCTCATGGCAGCCGAGTGACTCGACCGTGACCCCAACGTAAACAGTTTCACTGAAAAGCAACACAGCCCCAGGGACCCACAGACCACACGCGGCTTTTCCTCCGGCTTTTCCTACCGTGGTCCGGTGGCAGCAGGCCGGAGACAGGCACCAGGAAGACCGCCAGCCAGACGAAAGCCATGGCCAAGGCAGCTCCCACAGGAGGGCGGGCACCAGCTGGAAGAGAAGAGACAGTGGCCGCATGGGGTGGCGGCAGGGAGGAGGCTGAGCCCCCAGGGCTGTCTTGCTCCGAGCGCAGGGAGCTGCTTCCGGGAGGAGAGCCTCCCGTGCATGAGCACGTGTGTGTGCATGTGTGCACGTGTGTGCATGTGTGCGTATGTGTGTGCACGTGTGTATGCACCCGTGTATACCGCATGCCTGTGTGCATGTGTATGCATGTGCCTGCACATATTACTTGTGTTTATGTGTCTGTGCACTGTGTGTGCACATGTGTGCACGTGTGTATCTGTGTGCATACCTCTGCGTCTTGTATATGTATCTGTGTGCGCTGCGTGTCTCTATATGCATATGTACGCATGTGTGTGCACACATGACATGTGTTTGTGTGTCTCTGTGTGTGCTGTGTATGCATGCATGTGTCCCTGTGTGTGTGCACACATTACACAGGTCTTTGTGTGTCTGTGTGTGCATGTATGTCTGTGTGCATGCATGTGTGCATGTGTGTATCTGTGTGTATTGCGCACACACATTACACAGGTCTGTGTGTGCATGTGTACATGCATTCCTGCGTGTATGCAGGTCTGCACATATGTGTCTGTGTGCGTGCGTGTGTGTGTGCGTGTGTGCGCGCGCGTGTGTGCGTGCATGTGTGTGTGTGTGTGTGTGTGTGTGTGTGTGTGTGAGCCTCTCTAAAAAGCTCCCGCCCTGGGGTTTGAGCTCACCCTTGGCTCCAGCCCCATCCCGGAACCCAGAAATCACCTTCCACGCAGCACCAGGAAACACTGGGCTCACAGAACAGTTGAAGGAAGTTTAGTTAAGAGCATGAAGTACAACGCAGTTTCCTGAACAGACCGAGTTACGGTCACTAAATCCCGTGCTGTCTCATCGTTCCTGCCAGAGCTTTTCCCCAGGTCCCCATGAAGCCCCCCTCTGCAGGCCGGCTCTCCTAGACCCTCCCCTGGGGGTCCACCTTCTGCACCTTCCGGGCCCCAGCGGCAGGGTCTCCCGACGGACCCCACCCATCCCCCCCCCACCTGAGTCACTCATGCAAATGCCCTTGGCGCCTGGAGGCCGACCTGGGGCTGCCACCCAAGCAGAGCCTGGGACCCTCAGCTGCCTCGGATTCCACACCCTCAGCAGGGCCTCAGGCTCTCTGTGCCAGTCAGGGTCGCCCAAAGACCTGACCGCCACTCCCCGCCATCCCACCTGGAGCGTCTTGGCTGGGATTGGGGGGGGCCCAGGACGCACCCTACCTCCTTCAGGGCCTGTCCAGCAGCCCCATCATGAGACCCAACCCGGACTCCATCCATCTGGGGTCTCACCTGCTCCCCCATCCAGGTCTGGGGCTCCCACAAGATTCCCCAGGACTGACCTGCTCCCCCAAAAGTGCCAACTTTCACACAGATTTGACACCAGAAGCCGACACCCAGGGTCCTTCTTGCCAAACTGGGTGGAGGGAAGCCCGAGAGACCCCTTTCCAGGACAAGGCAACGGGTCAGATCCGGAACTGCCCATCACGGGGAGGCGTCCCGGGACAGATGCCAAACCATCTATCTGTGGTACAGGGATGAGGGTGAGGAGGGCCAGGCGTCGGGCACAAAGCTTCAGGGGAGGTGCCTCCCAGCCGGGTCTCACGATCCAGAGCAGTAAACGCCGCGCTCACAAAAGGCCCAGGCGCGGATCCACAGGGAGAAGAATATCGGATGAGCACGACCTCGGGCTCCTCTTTGATTGATGAAGACGGGCCCCCGTGGGCGTCGAGGCAGGGCTGGGTGTCTGTTCCTGGCGTCTGCTCAGGTGAGCTGAGCCCCACAGGTACACACGGCTCCAGCCTCGCGACACTGAGCCCACCCACAGGCATCTCTCCTCGCTCGGAGAAGCTCACGTCCTTTAAACACCCACATTGCATGAGGGTCATCGACGTATCCTGCTGCCCCCGATCGCAAAGGGAAGAGGCGTCCCTGGGCGGAGTCAAGCCCCCAGAGGCGGGGGATGGGGCCGGGCTCAGCAGGGTCGGGGCGAGGGAAGGGGCCTTGGGGCTCTGCACCCCGGCAGCTCGCCTGCCTGCGTCTGGGGGCAAGTGTGAGCCTGCAGGAGTCGGGGGCACTGTGATTAGGCGGAAGCCTCTCGTCTGGGGAGAGCCACCCCGAACCGTTCATCCATTCAGCCAACGCACAGGACCCGGCGCAAGACACAGAGGTGGTCAAGACCCCCGGGCATCCAGCCTAGTACAGGGTGGCACGGCGGTCGGATCCCGTAACCGGGGTCAGTGACACACTCGGCATCCTCCTTGGGCATAAAGGCTTTGAATCCGTTGTGTGTTGCCCCGGATGACACATCTCAGAGGCCACGAGCCACGTTCAAATCCTGGGGGTCCCGCCCCCGCCCCCGGGGCTGGCGGTCAGTACTGAGTCTCCAGGGACAGCAGTCGAGGCCGCTGCCTGCCTCCCGCCCCCAAGCCCGGCCCCGGGGTCTTACCTGGGATGCAGGCAGCCTCTCCTGGTGCTGGTCTAGCTGGCCTGGGGGTGGGCCCCAAGCTCTCCTGGCTTCTCAGCTGTGCTGCAGGCAGCCTCCCGAAAGAGAAAGAACCTTGTTTCTTCTCTCATCAGTGTTTTTATAGCCTCCGGGGTCAGCCCCACCCCTAAAAACTAAGCCCCAGTGAGCCGGGGAGGCGGGGAGAATGCGTTGAGGGTGTGACCAGGTCCAGGAGCCCTCTGCACCCCTCAGCTCAGAATTATGGTCTGGGGTCAGGAACAGGACTGCAGCTCTGTGCTCTCCTGGAAGGAACACCCTTGCTTTCAAAGTCTGCTTTTCCTGTTCTCACTTCTGTTTGCAGGTTCCTCTTTGTCACAATCCTAGTGACTTCCCGCCATTCACCCGGCTTGGGCAGTTTCCTGGAGCCGTGTTGTGGGTAAAGCCGGTCAGCGTGAATGGCCGGGGCCCTGGCCCCTTCCTTCGAGGTCCCATTGGAATGACCGCTCGTGCCCAAGGGGACAGGGAGGTGACCCCGGGCCCCCGATGCGCTGGCTGCACGGGACTCACGCAGCTCTCAGCCTGGCCCCTACCAACCTGCTCCCGGGTGACCTTCCCTCACCCGGGCCCTCCTGGGCATCCCTTGCCTTCGCCCTACACCTGTCATCTGCCTGTCGCCGCTCCCAAGCTCCAGCCCCACGTGTCCGTCCCTCCACCCTCTCCCTTGAGGCAGGTCCTCTTGTCTCCTCCAGTGTTTCCTGTCTACTCCACAGCCCCAGTGCACATCCACCTGGACTCTCAGAGCGCGGTTTATTTAGAAACAGGGCTGTCACAGGTGTAGTGGATTAAGGTAACACAGACTCCACCTGGAACAGGCTGGTCCCTATGTCCCATGGGACTGCTGTCCTTATGAGAAGGTGGCCCCCGGGAGACAGGGACACAGGGAGGACACAGCCACATAAGGACAGAGGTGGGAGCCGCCTGGTGCCCCCAGAAGCTAGAAGAGGCGGGAAGGACCCTCCCCTGGAGCCTCTGGAGGGAGCGCAGCCCCGGGACACGTTGAGCTCAGACGTCTGGTCCCCGGGGCTGGGGGAGGATGCAGGCCTGTGGATTTAAGCCGAGCAGCCTGGGGTCCTTTGTGACGGCCGCCCACTTCCCGCAGAGCACGAGTCTTGGTGGCTGACCAGCGCCTCTGAGAGACAAAAGCCGCGTCTCCCCAAGGGAAGGACCAGACGCCCATCCCCTCATCCCTGTTCAGGGCTGGTGAGCATCTTGCTAAGACCTGAGGCGACTGTGAAATGCACGCTAGGCAGTGCCCACTCTTGGTGGACACCTCATGTCTGCCCAGGGTCCCTCTTCGTCTGGAACTGAAGCACAGTGATGCCGGGGCAGGGGGTGTCTAGGCAGATGCAGTGCGGGGCAGGGGTGGGCACAGATGACAAAGCTGAGGAATGACAGTCCAGAGTGGACTTCACCCATGGGGCTGAGCCCAGGCTGGACCCCTTTCCTGGCAGTGCGCCCCCAGATGCTGAGGGGTGACGTTCAGATGTGGGTTCTGACTCCTGGGTCTGGGGCGGATGCCCCACGACCCTTCTTTCTTTTCTTTCTCTTTCTCTCCCTCTCTCCCTCCCTCCTCTCCTTCCTGCCCTTTTAGTTTTCCCCAAAAAGCCCAAAACCCCAGTAGAAAAGGAAGACACAACAGAAAAGCACCGCGGGGCCTCCAGGCCACAGGACAGGTGCTCATTAGCTCAGCAGATCCAAAAAAGCTGAGCCCTGACTGTCCGTGGGGATACTCAGCCCCAAGGCAGCCCAAACGTGCGGGCACGGCACAGACCCCGGGAACCTTGCCAACCGGAGGCCCTGGGCGTGCGTACGTGGGGTGACAAGAGGACAAACAGGGGCCACTGGTGTCAAGTCTGTTCCATGAAGGCCACACCCCCAAATCCGCCCACAGCCCCGCCAGTGTCGCTATAACCCCGGGGAAGACTTGAGGTTTAGTGTTTGGGGGGGGGGGGTCTCCGGATGGGGGGTGGGACCAGGTGAGGCAGAGGATGGTGGCGCTACCCAGAGGAGGCGACAGAGGCCCAGGGGCGCATGCGTGCTGAGCCGTCTCCCTCCATGGGACCGCAGACCCCTCGGCCGCCCACTCCGGGGCCCCCGGCTCCGTCCCCATCAGCGGTTTAGTGCCGTCAGACAAGCAATGACTAATTTCAGAAAAGCCCCCACACACCCGGGGGCTGGCGGCGTGGGGAGTGTGCGTTGTGTGCCTGGAATCCAGCCCTCCATGTGGGGAAGGAGCTACGGGGAACAGAAATGGGGAACCGGGAAAGGGGGTTGGCGAGGCCAGGGCACGGAGCAGCTGGGCCGGGAGAGACCAGAATAGCAGCCGGTCCAGCCAGCGCCTAGCACCTGCCACGCGGCCCGGGGGCATGGCCGGCTCGGCGAGGAGGGCGGGGTCGGCAGCGCCTCCGCCCCAGGAAACCCGTGGCCCCGTGGACGGCAGACGACAGCCCACCCGGGGCTCCCGGCCGCCGGGGGACTCCTAGGGACCTGCCGAGGGGCGGGACGCCCCCCGCGGGATGCAGTGGATCAGTTCCCCGGGGGCTGCCTCCCTGTGGCCACGGTCACCGCCCAGCAACGCAGCCCCTAAACCCCCTTCCCACGCGGCCTCCGGCTGGGCCCGCGTACCCAGAACGCAGGCCACGGCACAGAGCTTCGACCGGCCGGTGGACATAAAAGTGATGGGCTCCCACCCTTATCATCCAGGCGCCCGGGCTTCCCATCCTCCCAACAACGTTTATGAGACAGGGTTTGGCCATGAGATGACGCTTTTTGGCTACATGTCCTTCAAACACCACAGTAAAATGCTAACAACACTAGTGACTGTGATTCGATGATGAAATAGTTGCAGGACCACCTTGAATCGAAGTAGGCTCACATATTTAAGAGAATATATTTACACAGTGCTATATATAGGATGGATAACCAACAAGGACCTACCGTGTAGCACAGGGAACTCTATTCAATATCTTGTAATAGGAAACGAATCTGGAAAAGAATATATATGTGTAACTGAATCACTTTGCTGCACACCTGAAACTAACACAACACTGGTAATCAACTATACTCCAATATAAAATAAAAAGTTTAAAAGTAAATAATAGGGACTTCCCTGGTGGCGCAGTGGTTGAGAATCCGCCTGCCAATGCAGGGGACATGGGTTCGAGCCCTGGTCCAGGAAGATCCCACATGCCGTGGAGCAACTAAGCCCGTGCGCCACAACTGCTGAGCCTGCGCTCCAGAGCCCTTGAGCCACAACTACTGAGCCCACACGCCTAGAGCCCGAGCTCTGCGACAAGAGAAGCCACCGCAATGAGAAGCCCGCGTACCGCAAAGAAGAGCAGCCCCCACTCGCCGCAACTAGAGAAAGCCCGCGCACAGCAATGAAGACCCAACGCAGCCAAAAATAAATAAATTAATTTTTTAAAAGTAAATAACAACTAAATAAAAGACTACATGTATATAGTATATTATAATCATACAGGTACATTAATGTATGACTTACATGGTGTACATTAATTAATGTTTGCATCAATGTTACATAGCGTTCATGTCTATTAATTAACCTTGGTGTATAAGTACATTCGTATACATTAAATATTAAATGTGTGTTTATTTATTTAAGGGAAAACGTTCCGTCTGTCTGTCGCTACAGACACACGCGTGTTTCCGGCGGGGTTCAGCCTGTCTCCCTGGGGCCTGCGTCTCACACACCCTGTTGGGTCCAGCGGGTCCATCCTGAGGGCAGAACCTGACCTTCCTGGGGCCACCATCCCCAGCCCCTGGGGGGCCCCGGACCCACTTCAAATCTACTCTGGTTTAGACGCCAACACCCACTCCTGCTCTGAAGCGTTTCAGGAACCTCTCTCTCACGGGGAGACTTGTATCTAGTCTTCCGTCCAGAAAAACGTGCAGAGAGAAATTCTTGTCTCCAGAGAGTCCCCCCTCCCCCTCCCCCTCCCCCTCCCCTCCCCTCCCCCTCCCCCTCCCCCCCCCCCCCGCGCTCTGCCTCTAAACCGTAAGTCCCCCGTTTTTGCCCGCCCTTGGGGGAACCCGGGGGGGGGGGGGGGGGGGGGGGGGGGGCGGGGGGTGTGTCTCAGGCAGGAGGCGCCAAACCGCAGCTCATGACCTGGGGCGGGGGCCCACCCCGCCCCCCTGAGCTGCGCTGCACCTCCCTCGCTGGCCGATGCCGAGCTTTGCAAAGCTGCAGACGGGCGTGGTGGGGTGCACGTCGGGACCTGCAGTCCTGCCGGTCTGAGAGCCCAGGGCAAGAGCGAGAAGTGAACATCACAGGCTGAGGGGACTTCCCTGGCCGTCCAGTGGCTAAGACTCCGCGCTCTCCATGCAGGGAGCCCGGGTTCGATCCCTGTTCAAGGAACTAAGGTCCCACACGCGTGCCGCAACTAAGACCCGACGCAGCCAAATAAATAAATAAATATTTTCTTAAAAAAGAAAGAAAAATAAAGAAATTCGCAGGCTGAGGCACAGGTTACCCCGTGCGCTCTGAGGTCCCCAGAGACCCTCCAGGGCCACTTCCCGGCACAAGGCTGGGCCGTGCCCTCGGGGTCAGGCCGGGCTGGTCTCCGGGATTCTCCCGAGGGGAGGGGCTGCTCTCCTGACCTTTCCCAACAAAAGCACTTCCGCCGTGGTGGCGGAGCGTCTTCCTGGAGGAGGGGACACGCCTTGCTGTAAAATTCCTGGCCTGGCGCTCCGGACACGGACACGGCGCGGGTGAGCTGTACCCTCTGCGTTTTCGGGGAACCTGCAGACCTGTCCTCCCAGCTGCTGCTTCTGGGGGCCCCGGCACTTAGGGACCACCAGCGCCCTGGCCGCTGGGGGTGGGAATCTTTGCTGCACTTTTTAATAACTCTCCAAATTCACATCCCTTAGAGCCTCAGAACGGGACCTTGGTAGGAAACAGGGCCTTTGCAGATGGGATAAAGTCAAAGATCTGAGCTGAGGTCCTCCTGGAGGAGGGTGGCCCTACATCCCATGACAGGGTCCTTCTAAGACACAGAAGGCGAGAGACCCAGACACAGAGGAGAAGCCCCGGGAAGACGGAGGCAGAGATGGGAGGGACGCGGCCACAAGCCCAGGGACGCCTGGAGCCCCCCGAAGCTGGAAGAGGCGGGAAGGACCCTCCCCTGGAGCCTCTGGAGGGAGCGCGGCCCTGGGACACCTTGACCTCAGGCTTCTGGTCTCCAGGACTGGGGGGAGGATGGATGCCTGTGGTTTTTGGCCCTCAGTCTGTGGTTGTTAGAGCCGCCCTGGACTCTGCTGTAAGAAATAACACTCTTTTTCTCTCACCATGCACCCCTACCCGCTCCCTGTGGCCTCCTGAAACCTGCCCAGGTCCCTGGCCCCATGCCAGGGAAGCTTACCCTTCCCATAGGGTGCCTGTCCCACCGGTGCACAGGTCCGCTCTGGAACCTGCCGGTGGCCAGCCCAGGCTTGGGCCGACTTGCCAGGTTCTGATTTTTATCGTAAACCCTTCCGTGTAAATAAGAGTGTGCCGGGGCCAAGCCCATCCGTAGCCGGAGCTGATGCTCCCACGAGAAGCCCGTCTTTCCAGGTCCAGGTTGTCTCAGGTGGCGTCACGGCCAGAGGCTCTCTGGGGTGATGACACAGGGTATCTCGAGGTCACGGGTTCCTCGGCCACAGAGATAGCGAGTGTTTCCTCCACTTAGACCTCATCTTTTCTATTTTCTCTGAAGCACCGCACGTCTTTTGAAAGAGACGCCTTCTTAGCTCTGGCCCAACCCCAAACATGGAAGTTTCTAAATGAAATCTTCCTTATCAGTGGCCGCAGCCTTTCGTGAAACACCCGTTTCTTCGTAGTGTTTTCTTCGGTTGGGCTCAGGGCGTCCCAGGAAATCGGAGCGGGCGTCTCCCTCTGTGTCTGGGGCGCGACTCTGCTGTTTGCTTCCCTGGCTGACAGCCTGAGCGAGCCCCGCCTGGGAGATGGGTCTCTTGTGGGTGTGGACGGAACCCAGCCTGGATGTTTAATGTGGGGTTGTAGAGACCCGCCACCGAATTTGTCTGCGTTGGATCTTCGTTGCTGCGAGTGGGCTTTCTCTAGTTGCGGCGAGCGGGGGCTACTCTTCGTTGTGGTGCGTGGGCTTCTCACTGCGGTGGCTTCTCTTGTTGCGGAGCACGGGCTCTAGGTGCACGGGCTTCAGTAGTTGTGGCTCACGGGCTCTAGGCGCGCGGGCTTCAGTAGTTGCGGTGCACGGGCTTAGTTGCTCTGCCACATGTGGGATCTTCCTGGACCAGGGCTCGAACCCGTGTCCCCTTCATTGGCAGGCAGATTCTTAACCACTGCGCCACCAGGGAAGTCCTGTCACTTTTTAATTTTACTAAAAATACACCACGAATATCTTTCCTTAGGTGCAGAAATGAATCTACGTCTCCTTACAATTTCTGCACAGCCCACACCATTGCATTCATACAAGTCCGTGAATAAACATCCAGGCGATTTTTCGTTTTCTTTACTTATCATAAACGGTTTTCCCTGAAAGGGAGAGAGGTCACACCCAGACAGGAGAGGGTCAGGGCGGAGCACAGATGCCAGCTCCGAAGTCTGCACGTGGTAGTGTGACAGCAAGGATGGGGCCGTCTGTCCTAAGTCGGAGGCTGTCTGTCTGTCTGCCCCCCAAGAGACGGCGAAAACCCATCCCTCCACCTGGATTGCAGGCATCTCGGAGATGAAGATGCCCGTGATGTGTTCGTTCTTTTCTTTCTTAAAAACGGCTTTATTGACGTTTAACTCACAAGCTGCAGAATTCATGCTAAGCGCACGGTTTGACGGCATTCAGCACATTCCCAGTGTTGTGCAGCCATCACCTCTGTCTGGTTCCAAAGCACTATCATCCCCCCAGATGGAGGCCCTACACATTCCCAAGCCCCCCCGGACTCCCCAAGTCTCTCCAGATGTCCCCCAGGGCTGCATGCTATAGCAGAACCCCAAGACGCTCCATCAGTGATTCTGGTCCTTGTGTATGCAATGGTCCACAGACGTCCGCAGCGGACATGGGACGCCCCCACCTTCCTCCACACGCCCGCAGCCCCTTGGCTGGGTGGTCTCCTAGGGATGCCCGTGCCCCAGGCACTCCAGGTGGTCACCAGGCATTCAACACATGCTGCACAGGTGTGGCGAGCCAGCCGGCAAAGGGGACAGAGCCTGCATCTGCAGCCAGGGCTGATGCCACCGCCCTGAGTCGACCCCTCGGGCCAGACACCACCCGCCTCGGGGCCTGGGAAGCTGAGAAACTGGGGCCGGGAAATGGGCGGGTTGCTCACCGCTGCCCCCGTGTGGTGGCTGTGACCATAGCCGGCCTCCATCGCCTGTGCCTGGACGGTCACCCAGCAGGTGGTTCCGAATTGTGACACCAGGGACAGCCCCTAACCGGTACTGAGCTCACAGTCGCTTTGCCCGGCGGCGTCCTCAGGACCCGTCTTCCAGACACGCGTGTGCTCTCTGCAGAGACCCCTGGCTTTGCCTCTTTCTTGAAAGCCTCTTCTTTTTAATCAATAAACTAATTTATTCATTTTTTATTGGCGTATAATTGCCTTACCGTGGTGTGTCAGTTTCTGCTGTACAATGAAGTGACTCAGCTCTATGTATACCTGTATCCCCTCCCTCTTGGACCTTCCTTCCATCCCCCTCCCCCATCCCACCCACCTAGGTCATCACAGAGCACCAGAGCTGAGCTCCTTGTGCTATGCCGCAGGTTCCCACTGGCTATCTGTTACCCACGGTAGCGTATTTATGTCCATCCTAATCTCTTTTTAAAGTTTATTCTTTGGAGCACAAAATAATGACTGCCTTTTGCGGGAAGCGTAAAGCCCGCAAGCACACGGGAAAGTCAAACTCCCCCCGACCCGGCCACCAGGAGAGAACCAGTGCGGACATTGGGCCACGTATGGGGCTCAGGCAGCAGACGGGCCATCCCTTTAGCAGCCGCCCCCTGCCCTCATTCCCCTCCCTCCGCCCTAAGCAACCTCAAATCTGCTTTTTGAATCTGGGTTTCTGGCCATTCTGCGTGCACGGGGTGACAGGCGTGGGCCCTTTTGTGTGTGGCCTCCGTCATGCTGTTCTCGAGGTTTTTTGGGGGGTGGGGGTGGGGGGCGGGTGTTGCCTTTTACAGAGGAATTTCAGGCCCATGCTGGACAAAACCGCTGCCCTCACCACCAGCCCGATCAGGACCACAAGGAAGTTCTTCTCTGGGAAACCTGATGGGACAGAGGCGCAGAGGGTCAGGAGTGACCGGGTGGTCAGGTTTGCACACGTCGGCTACCAACCCGGTATCAGACTGCGGGGCGGGGGAAGCAGGGCTGAGCAGAGGAGAAGAGAACTTCCAGACACAGGGGCCTGAGGAACGTGGGAATCTTGGCAGTGAAGAATCGATTCTTCTGCGATCCTGTCCCACCCCACCCCACCCCTTTTCACTGTCCCCATATTTCCCACCCTGCTGCTCACAAGACAGGACCCACCAATTACATTTCCACGAGGGCACAGCTAATACCACACAATGCCTTCCTTCTCAATGGATATTAACTTTCACTACTGCACTACATAACCAAAGGAATGAATGTGTAATTGTGAAATGTCAAGGATGAGAGAAAGGGGTGTGTGTGTGTGTGTGTGTGTGTGTGTGTGTGTGTGTGTGTGTGTGGTGTTGTTTTCGTTTTAATTGCAAATGAGGCTTTTCTGGGGGAACTCTGACTTGACTCGTGTAGCCTGGACACCTGCAAGCCATGAACTCACTGCCTATGGGGAAGGAGGCTCAGACATGGATTTGGTAGCTCCTCTCTGGGGAAGGGGTGGGGCAGCCCTTCTTTTAGGCATTCAGCAGGTGCATACTTAGAGCTCATGCCCTGTTGGCTGCTAATGAATCCCGAGGGAGCCCTGGAGGGAGGGACTGGGTGGATCCCGACCTTGTGGGTTTTCTGCTGGTCCTACAGGGCAGGCATGAGGCTGCATGAGGTGCCCTGTGGGTCTGCCAACCTTGAACCTACGGGGCCAACCCTTGGCATTTCCTGCCAGGAGCCAAGCCAGCCGTGCTGACAGATGGCAGCTGTCAGATTTTCAGGCAACTCACTTTGTGATACCCCTCCCGGCCCCCTGAAGGAGGGAGGCACTCTGGAGGTCAGAGCCCCCTCATGTGGGGAGAGAAGTGGGGACACCCTGGCTGACCCCACGAGGGTGACCTCCCTGGGGTGGGGGGTGACTGGCAGCCGGAGCCTCAGAGACATCCCAGTGAGACCGAGGCAGGAGTGACCCACAGCAGCGTGTGTTCCTGTGGTTGCAGCTGGGTGGGGCCCTCCCCATAGGGTTACCCCAGAAACATGGGAGGGCGCGTAGGGCCGCAGGACAGGCTGCAGGTTGTGTGTTTAATCAGAGAGCTTGCGGGACCCACCCTGGGGCCCCTCTGCTGAGAGGGGCCCTGCAGTTGGCTCAGTGGACCCCCGTAAAGATGTGTCCCCATCCTATACCCTGGGAACCGGGACCTTATTTGGAAAGAGAGTCTCTGCAGATGTGATGCAGTGAAGGGTGTGATGAGGTCCTCCTGGAGGAGGGTGGCCCTATATCCGATGACAGGGTCCTTCTAAGACACAGAAGATTCCTTCCTACCAACCAACCTCTGTACTGTTACTATTCTATAGGAGAATGGTTTCCAGGAACACATAATCTTTTAACAGTTCAATTATTAATGTGCAAGTTTTGAATTTATAGAACAAACATTAAAATTGCACTTACAGTTACCTCCTCGCAAAATGGAGATTCAATGAGATAATGCATATACCTGACTGTTTTGTAAGCTCTTAATGAAGGTGAAACTATTTGAAATAAAAGAGAAACTGACCCCCCCCCCAAAAAAGAAGGAGGGTCAAGCAGCAGGATTCAGAGGAAGGGCCCCTGCTTCCCTCCCCCCTGGCCAGGCATCGGTGGCCTCGGGTGTTCCCGGGAGACTCACCGAAGTGCTGCGTGGAGCTCCATTCACTCCAGATTTTATAGGACACGCGCTTCACACGCATGCGGGCGGTGTGCTGTCCCATCACGGCAGAATCGGGCATTCGCTACTCATTTTTATCACCTCCTATTTGGAAGACCTTTAAAAGAAAAGAGGATCTTGTGATGGACTTTGGTGACAAACGCCAGGCTGGGAACAGGGCGAAGGCAGAGCGTGTGCACATCGCAGGAGAGCATCCTGACACCGGGCGGACACCTGGGACCCGCTTCCTCGGTCCATATTCCCCTCCCTCCCCGCAATGGCAGGGCCCTAAGGGGCTTTGCCGTCTTGCACCTGGGTCTCACAGCTGTCCGTCTGTGCCCACATCTCGGGCAGGGTCCCCATGCCCTTGGGAAGTGAGGTTGGGGTTATTCTGATTCTTTCTACACAGAGGACAGATCCTTCACTTCATCACATCTGCAAAGGCCCTGCTTCCAAATGAAGTCCCATTCTGTGGTTCTGGGTGGACATGACTTTTAGGGGGGCGCTTTCAGGTCGCTACACTGTGTACTGAGAAGGTGTCAGTAGCTCCATTGGGAAGAAGGACGTTGCTCTGTCCTCGGGGCGGGTGACAACCGGCTCCTTGAGCTGAGTCAGAGGCATTTGGGAAATCACAGCTTCACCATCGGAGACAAAGCCCGGTGACCCCTAAAGGGGCTCAGTGGGACCCGGGGCTGAGCCGTGCCGGCTGCCCGCTGAGGGCTCAACTTCGAGCATCTAAGACCCAAGCAGGGAGGCTGCAGAGAAAGGAAGGGGTACTTACGGGCTCTCGCTTAGAGAGGCTGCCCTGTAGACAGAACAAAGGAAAGATGGTAAGTGGCTCTCTTCTCAGCCTTGTCTGCAAATGTGGGAACCCCCTCGGAACCCCAGGATGGGTATGAAATGATTTTAAGCAGAAGATATTTGGGATTCAACAGATGCAGGAAAAATAAGCTTCTCGGAGTTTCTCTTATCAGACTGAAAGCAAAAGCTTCTGGGAGTGAAGCATGCCATAAATTCCCTCGGGGACACTTCACTCCCAGGAAAGAGTTGGAACCATCATAAATTCTGTCTCCAGGGAAGTTTTATGGCCTTGAAGAAAGTACCACTGTACTGGCATAAACAAACATTATCACAGACTTTCTTATGCACCATTTGTTCTCCTAGAAACCCATCTGTCTTTCCTAAAGATACCCATCTGTAGGAAATTCCCTGGCGGGCCAGTGCGCTTTCACTGCTGTGGACCCGGGTTTGAAAGAAAGCCATTTTTTTTTCCCCATTGCAGCCTCTTCTCCCTTCTTTCCTTTCCCCTATTCATTTAGGAAGAAAAGTTCCTAAGTTCAGCTATTTCAAAGTGAGCTCTTTTGTGCACTCCGTACGGATAGGAATCAATGTTGCCTTTTTTGACGGGGCCCCTGCTCTGAGGGGACTTGCTTTCCGAAGAAAGCAAATGTGGATGAAAACCCTAAAGGTAAGAGCTAAAAGTAGAAACCCCTCAGAATAAAAAAAAAGCGGAATCTTTACAACTTTGGGCGAGGCAAACCAGTTTGCTAGGTACTACAATGTCTTTTGTCTTTCAATGACAAAAGAAAACAAGATAAGTGAACGTCTTCGAAAAGGAATGAGCAGGGCTTCCCTGGTGGCGCAGTGACTGAGAGTCCGCCTGCCGATGCAGGGGACACGGGTTCGTGCCCCGGTCCGGGAAGATCCCACATGCCGCGGAGCGGCTGGGCCCGTGAGCCATGGCCGCTGAGCCTGCGCGTCCGGAGCCTGTGCTCCGCAACGGGAGAGGCCACAACAGTGAGAGGCCCGCATACCGCAAAAAAAAAACAAAAGAAAAAAACACCAAAGATAAAGTTGCTAATTTCCTGACACTTTCAGACCAGAGGAGGATTTTAGAACCTAGAGCCACTAGCCAGATGAAGAAGATGGGTGTTTTCTTCCTGGATGTTTGGACATTTTAGACCGGTGCCCCCCCCGGGGCCTTGAGGAAACATTTCTGGACTGTGGGACAGCATTTAACGTGAAGACCCCAGCGAGGCCTCGTGTAATTCACTATATGTCTGTTCGTCGTCAGTGACAAGATAAGAAAACAAAACCTCTTTGGGGGGTCACAGGAACTCTTGTCAAACCTGCACCTTCATCAGAGAGCTTGAACGACGTTCGTTACGGGGTACCATCTGCTATAGGTTTTAGACGCACTTGAACACACTGAATGTATGGTAAGATGAATTTGCGGGGTAGGGGATGTTTAGGGTGCTATGAAAATTTAACTTCGCCCACCGGTATGATATAGGATTCAAAAAGGCTCTTGTTATAAATTAAACCAGCAAAGTTGTAACCAAATTCCCAGGGAGGGAAGAGCCCATAAGACGGTATCACTGAGCTGAGAAATCATTCTTTCTTTTCAGCTAAAAGCTACTGACAGGGGCTTCCCTGGCGGTGCAGTGGTTAGGACTCTGTGCTTCCACTGCAGGGGGTGCAGTTTCCATCCCTGGTCGGGGAACTAAGATCCTGCAAGCCATGCGGTGCAGCCTCAATAAATAAATAAATAAAGCTGCTTTTTGGAATCACGCAGACAGTTTGATATCTAAGGGTAGGCATTCTATCAAAGCTCATATATATATAGAAGCAAGCAGCGGGAAGGTTACGAGAAAGATCATAACGAGAGCTGCTAAGGATGCTGACGACCCAGCACCCTCAAGCGCTGTTTGTGGGGATCTAAAATAGTGCAGCTGCCTTGGAGAACAGTCTGCCATTAACCTGCTCGAGCTGCCATAGCAAATACCATTAGTCGAGGGGTTTAAACCACAGACACTTATTTCCCACAGTTCTGGGGCTGAATGTCTAAGATCGGGGCACTGGCATGGCTGGGTTTCTGGAGAAAACCTTCTTCTTGTCCTTCGGACAGCCACCTTCACACTGGGACCTCATGTGATGGAGAGAGGGGCTCTGGTGCATCTTCTTCTCTTTTAAGGACACTAATCTCATCGTGGGGGCCCCACCCTCATGACCTCATCTAACCCTAATTAATCACCTCCCAAAAGCCTCACCTCCTAACACCATCCCATGGCGGGGGTCAGAGCTTCAGCATATAAATTTTGGGGAGGACACAGCAAAAAGCAGGCAGTTCTTAGACCTTATAAAGTCAGACATACAGTTCCTGTGCGGCTCGGGAATTTCACTCTCAGTATTTACCCCAAATAAAGGAAGAATCCCTTCCACAGAAGGACTTGTACCCAAATGTCATACAGCAGCTTGATTTTTTTGTCAGCCCAAACTGGGAATGACCAAAGCGCCCATCAGTGGGAAAATGCACCTAGCAACTGTGATATAGGCGTGCACTGGGTTGGAGTGAGATTCATCTATGAAAAGCACCGAGCTACCCGTATACTCAAGGACGTGGACCAATCTCAAAACACGCTGAGCTAAAAGAAAGCCAGACAACAGGATTCATACCGTGGGCTTCCCTCTCCAGGAAACTTGGGAGATGGTGCGTCTCATCTACAGGGGCTGGGGTGTCCCCTGGCTGAGGGAGGGACGGGGAGTCCAGAGGGAAGCGTTCCACATCGTGCTTGTGACACGGGTTTGTCCACTCGCTAAACCGCACGAGGCTACACTAAGGATGTTCAAATCATCCCTCCATCCGGCAGATTTTCCAGAAGACCTTAGAGCTGTTAGCTAGGAGATGTTGAATTAGGAGAGATGTGACTGCCCCCTCCTCACTCACCACACCCCTCCCGGGATTAGAGAAGGAGATCCCAGCCCTGGTAGATGTTTGTGCTGCCCTCAGCAGTGGGGTCCCCGGCTGCCCTGAACTTTTAGGACCGCACAGGGTGATGCGGGGTGGGAAAGACCCGGTGCGCAGTGTCACCACGCAGAGTACTAACCCCACGGGCTGGCTGGTCCCAGGGACCCTGAGGGCTGCATCGCCCTGAAAGCTCAGGGATGGAACACCTTGAGGGCACCCTGGGGAGAGACAGGCCCTGCCCCTGCAGGATGGCGTGTGGGTCAGTGAGTGAGTCAACGAGTCCACGTCCCGTTTCCCCCTCTGACCTGGCCGCCCACGATGGACCGGTGTCCCTGGCGTGGACCCCAGAGGCAGCAGGCTTCACCCACGGCCGGGGTCTGTCCCCTGTGTCTCAATGAGAGGGGGGCCTCCCCGGGACCCTCAGGTCCTGCAGGTCAGCCACTGCCCGCTGGGGACTCCACTGAGAAAGACAGAGACAGAGAGACACCGCCGGAAATAGTGCAAGTTGGCGGTGACTCAGTTTGTACTGCAGTCTGTCCGCAAATGACATTTCCTGAACTGTCACTATTCTGTGTTCCTTCCGTGTTTCATCACCTAAAAGAGAGAGTCTGCCGAGACACGGTTTTCCTTCCAGAGACCCTGATACGCTTTGCAGATATTCGCCTTTTATCTTCCTTCTGTTCCCCTAGCCTCTCCCCCCTGGCCCTTTAATATTATTATCATCCTCGTTACTAACGGACAAGTTTTTCAACAGGTTTCGGTTTTCGGAGACGCTCAGCGGAAGGCACGGAGTTCCCATGGACCCCTCTCCCACCCTCTCCCAGGTTCCCCTGTTACCCTCCTATTATGGAATATCCTGCGTTGGGTGGTGCATCTGTTACCATGGATACGTTGATACTGATAACATTGTTCTTAGCCGGGATGTCGTGTAGCCACACAGAACCGGTTCCCTGTCGGAACCAGGGCTTCCAAAGCCCCAGAACCCACTTTTCTATTTCTTTTTTTCCGCATATGAAACAGAGAAGTTGCAGCTGCCACGGGGAGAGGATTGGGCTCCAGACTCTACCCTCATCCCCGCTTTCCTTGCCCTCCTTCCGCACCCCCAACCCATCTATGAATTGCTTTTTGTGTTTCAACAAGAAGTGGGGCCCTTTACTAATGAACTCAGCCGTGTTCCTTCCTTAGGGGGTTTACGACCATCCGGTGTTTTGTGGTTTGTGAGCAGTGACTGTGCTGGTGACAGAGGAGGGTCCGTTCGTCTGATCTGGGTGGCCGGGCTGGACTTGAGGATTTGAGCTGGCGGGGTGGGGAAGGGGCTTCTGGGTTTGCTCCCTGAGTCCAGGTGGGTGGTCACGGGTCCCTGGTCCTGGACACCCTCCCCCCATGTGAGATGCCCCGGCAGGTCTTGTCTTGTAGGGCTGGACCCCTGTGTCCCTGTGGGGGGGTGATGCCTGGTCCCGGAGACTACTGGGCCCCTCCTCCTGTGGGTGGCCTTCCCGCAGCACCCCAGCTTCTCCATCCCAGGGAGGCCTCAGCCCCCAGAGCACTGGGGTCCCCGGTGCAGCCCTGAGGAGGAATCAGTGTGCTGGGGTGAGGCAGGAAAGTGCATCCTCAGGGCTCCAAGAAAGTCAGGAAAATCCTGGCTTTATTCCGGGCTCTTCCCTCCCCACCCCATACTAGCCCCTCCAGACCCAGTACAGACAAAAGTCTCAGCACAAGCCCCTCCCCTTCCACCCCTCCCCTCCCCAAGCCTCAGGGCTCTGTTCAGGGACTTTGTGGGCCTCCCTGGAATTCCCACAACCCAGTGGAGCAAGCACTGTCTTCAATCCCATTTCACAGATGCGGCCCAGAGAGGGCAAGCAGGCTGCCCAAAGTCACACAGCCTTGACGGCATAGCCCCTGTGCGCACTTGGGGACTGTTGCCTGGAGTTCCGAGTTGGCACTCAGCGAAACAAAGAAAGCGTTGCTCTCTGAGCAGGTACGGCAAACACCCAAAGACCCTGCAGGGCGGGTATGGCCCAGTCACTCAGTGCCGGTGGGGATGTGCAGAGGGGTCCCCAGAACGGGGTGGAGGTCATTTATGACATTGGGGGAGCCACGTAGTGCGATGCCATAGTGAGCAGATTCCCAGCCTCACCCTGTTGGGGAAACATAATTAACCCCAAGCCTCCTGCGAACCCAGGAAACCTCCCCACAATGACTGGAGGGGAAGAACACAGTTTTATCACTGAAGGAGCCCCAAACCAGGAAGGGACGCCCATCACAGGCTGAGACCTGGCAGGGACCGGAAAAGTCCCACCTTCTCGCACAGCCCGGAGGGGCCGACCAACCCCAGCCTCCTCGTCGGGATAAACGATCACTATTTCCTGAAGCAACAGGCCTTGACTGGCCCGCGGGCCGCGCAGCGTTTGCCCTAACCCCCCTGGCTTATAGGGGCCCCATCTACGGTAACCAGCTGCCTCTCTCCGGAGAAAGAAAACACACGTCTCCCAGCTTTAGTGCCAGGAGGTACGTGTGCAACTTGGAGCGAGGTCGTCCTTGCCCTGATGTCACAGAAGAGAGAGTTTAAATCATCTTTCTTGGCCTCCCACCTTCTGAGACGGCCCACACTCTGTCTGTGGTGTGTGTTTCTCTCTAAATAAAGAAAAACAAATATCATATAATATCACTTCCATGTTGAATTTAGAAAAATGGTACAGATGGACTTATTTGCAAAGTAAACACAGAGTCACGAGATGTAGAGAACAAACGTATGGTTACCAAGGGGGGGTGGGGGGGTGGGATGAACTGGGCGATTGGGACGGACATCTATACACACTACTATGTATAAAATAGGTAACTAAGGAGAACCTGCTGTATAGCACAGGGAACTCCACTCAGTGCTCTGCGGTGACCCGAATGGGAAGGAGGGGATAGGTGTACATGTATAACTGATACACTTAGCTGTACAGCAGAAACTCACGCAACAATGTAAAGCAACTCTACTCCAGTAAAAATTAATTTTAAAAATAAATAAAATTATTTTCCTTCATTTTAATTTGTGTCTGTCCTTACAAATCTCATTTACCTGACCTTCACCTCAGAGAGGGCATGCACTGGGGTTACCGGCCAAAAGCGGCCTGTGTTTGGAGGGCCTGTGAGCTAAGAATAAATTGTTACATTTTTAAAGGGTTGTTAAAAAAAAAAAAAAAAGAGAGACTGGATCTGGTTGACAGATGCGCGTGGCCTGCGGAGCCTGGAATGTCTGGTTTTCACAGGAGCGAACGTTTGCGGACGCTTGGGGAAAGTGGATGGAGGTAGGGCTGTGGGTGCAGGTTGGGGGCACTTTGGGGCAGGGCTGGGGGTTAGGGGTGCACACAGTCGGGAAGGAGCCTCTTTAGAGGGGCGTGTGGGCAGAACTGTGTTCCTTCCAAAGCGGTAAGTCCACCTCTGGACGCCCCAGAACCTCAGAAAGTGACTTAATTTGGAAACAGGGACTCTGCAGAGGTGATGGAGGGAAGGGTCTGAGATGAGGTCCTCCTGGATGAGGGTGGCCCTACATCCAGTGACAGGGTCCTTCTAAGACACAGAAGAGGAGGGACCCAGACACAGAGAAGCCACGTGCAGACAGGGGCAGAGACGGGAGGGAGGCGGCCACAAGCCCAGGGACACCTGGAGCCCCCAGAAGCTGGAAGAGGCAGGAAGCACCCTCCCCTGGAGCCTCTGGAGGGGGCGTGGCCCTGGGACACCTTGACCTCAGACGTCTGGTCCCCAGGATGGGGGAGGATGGATGCCTGTGGTGTTTAGCCCCCCGGTCTGCGTCATTTGCTGCTGCCGCCCCAGGACACCGTCCATGCTTCCCCCCAACCCCGGCCCTCCCGCCTGTACATCCAGACCCAGATTCTCCTCCAAAGGTCCCCATTTCCCCCCACCCAGCCATCACTGCCCCTGCTCCCTGGTCCCCGGCAGTGTGGAGACCCCTCGCCCTGCCCGGAATCCCCTCTCCGGCCTCCACGAGAGCCAGCACTGGCTCAGCTTTAGTTGTTCCCGGGAGAACCCTTTCCCCCCAGCACGGGGCTGAGAGCTCACCCTCAACTACGAGGTGCTTCCGAGTCCTCTGCCCCCGGATCACGTCACTCACACGCCGTCCACGTCCTTCCCTGCTGTCCAATGGTCGGCTGCCTCAGCAGGAGGAGAGCTCCATTGGGGCGGGACTTTTCTTCTGTCTCCGCCTTCCAGGGCCCCTTGGTACCCCGTGATCCTAGGACAGAGCCCGGGGCGTGAATCTGTGCGCGGTCAGTCTTTGCTGACCTAGTGCCTCAACTGTCTATTTAAGGACGCAACTTAGGCAACTACACAGCTGCCCCGAGAGGGGTCCCCAGGAAGCACATGCTCACCCTTTGCCCTCCCACGGGGAGAGGATGCCGGGGAGACGGCTGGTGTCACTGGGACCAATCCCACCACCCCAGCTGTGCCAGCCTCACACATCCTGTTGGGCAATGCTGTGGCCTGAAAGTTCCTGAAAGTCTGCCTCTGCAGCCGCTGACCCCTCGTGTGAGCACAGGGGCACCATTGTGCAAACCACACAGTCACCGGGAGGGTCCAGGCCGGGCCTCCCGGGTGGCAGAGACGGGCAGGCACCTGCAGCCTGAGCGTCGGGGAGATGATGGGCTGGGACGCTGCAGCCGGTCACCACTGGGGCCACAGAGGATACAGGGGCATTAGGTCCTGAGTGCCTGGGGCATCAGTCCAAGAACTCGTTTTTTTCCATTAGAATGACCTTAGTTTCTTTTTTAATTTTTATTTTATATGGGATTCTAGTTGATTTACAATGTTGTGTTGGTTTCAGGTGTACGACAAAGTGATTCAGTTAAATATATATTTTTTCAGATTATTTTCCACTCCAAGTTATTACAAGATATTGAATATTGTTCCCTGTGTTACAAAGTAAATCGTTGTCGCTTATCGATTTTATGTATAGTAGTTTGTATCTCTTAATCCCAAACTCCTGATTTATCCCCTCCCCCACTTCCTTTCTCCTTTGGTAATCATCACTTCGGAATCTAAAAAATAAATGAGTTTATATACAAAGCAGAAACAGACTCACAGACATAAATAACTCATTTCTCTTGAGATGTGACATCCGTGCAGTAAAATGCTCAGCTGCTCTGCCTTTCATGCGGGTGTGTGCGGTCTGCTGGGTCATTTTCCAGCACCTACAACCGGCTCCCCAAGACTCCAGACCTCACTCCCTTCAGACCCCCAGGTGGGAGCCCCGGGCAGCCCAGACTTCGGAACGACTGGCTATAAATCAGGGCTTCCCATGACCCGCCTCCTCAGGGTTGATAATTTGCTAAAACTGCTCACGGGACTCAGGCAAAGACGGGAATTGAAAACAAAGACTTTGCTGGCTTACGATAAAGCATGTAATTCAGCTGGTTTTGACTTAGGATCCAAGTCAGGTGGGAGGGATGCACAGGGCAGGTATGGGGAGGGGGCACAGAGCCCAGTGGGCCAGGTGCGAACTCGGAGGAGTGAGGGCGGCTCTGAGCTCGCCCATCACAGCCGCTCAACCAAGCTTCCCTCCTTGGGCTCCGTGGGGGGGACAGAAAAATGTCCCCAAAGAGGTCCACATCCTAATACCTGGACCCTATAAAAATGTTGCCTTCTGACAGAAGGGACTTTACAGGTGTGATTAAGTCCCGGGTGTCGATCTCGAGATGCGGACATGGTCCTGGATTACCAGGTGGGTGTGACATAACCCACAGCGTCCCTGTAAGAAGCAGGCAGGAGGGCTTACAAGCTATAGTGAGTAGGCGTCCGCTGTGTCGACTCGGCAATTGTGGTCCTGTTACAGCAGCCACTGGAAAGTCATTCCTTTCTGAACTGCAGCCAGTAGAGAAAGAAGGAGGATGTCAAGTTTCTGCCAGTGGAAGCGGGCGGCGGCACAGACCCTCATCCCAGCGCCAGCGGCCAGCAGCAGCTCTGACCCCTCCCTGTGAGGAAGGGGTGGTGTTTCCCTGGAGCAGCTGGAAGGCGCATTACGTGGTCAGGGTCCACGGGCCTCGAAACATCCCGCCAACTACAAAGCATCTTTGCAAAACATCACATTAGTTTTTAGAGTAAAAAAACAAAACAAAACAGAACAGAAAGGTAGAAAAATGCTCAAAACAATTTAAAAAAGCTACATTCACAACAATTAAGCAAAACATTGAAAAAACATTAAAAGAAATTGTAAAAAAACCAACGACTTCCAGAAAGTGCCGGGGATGCAGACACCTGGAGTTCACGCATTCGCTGGGGCTTCTGTGACTTCTTCCACGGCTAAGACCTCTTCCTTGTCACCTTTTCCCGCGTCATGTGCAAATTTCTCCCAGAGGATCTGCTGGGGAGAAGGATGGGGGTGTCAGGAGCCCCGCGAGCAGTGGGGGGGCCATGGGGGGTTTAGCTAGAAATCCGAGACGGCTCTCTGCGTCAGATCTTGTAGCTGGCAGACGAGCTTGTGGGAGGGACATCTGAGCCTAGGGTACCACATATGCTAGGGCCACCCGGAGCTCAGGGGTAGCGGGACGTGTCTCATGCTGGCCCCCTAGGGTGGGCGGGCCCCTGGAGGTCCCAGGGACCTGGAGAGAGTGTGGGTCGGTGCTCCTGAGAGGAGAGATGCCCAGCTCAAGAATGGAGGTGAGCAAGCTGACAGCTGGGGGATATGATGCCAGACAGCGGAGTAGGTAGACATAGCCCCTGCCCCACGGAGAGGCAGATGTGATGGGTGCACCCAAGGGGGGTGTCACGTAGGGGGCGTCTCCCTTGTCCCTTGTCCTTTTTCATCCTCTCTGGGAGCTGTCCGCTCCCGGAGATCTGGTCAGACCCCTTTCACTCTGTCTCTACCTCTCTCTTTCTCCCTCCCCGTCTTCCTTCTCTCCTTCTCCCTGCACCCAATTTCCCCAGACACAGCTCGCAGGTAAAACCCCAGTCCCTGACCCCTGAAGGAGGCCAGGGAGCAGGACACGGGATGGCAGCCACACCCTGTGGACCCCTTTGGGTGGACACAGTTGAGATTCTGGGGTCATTGTCCCCTCTCCTCCATCCTGGTTTGCCCCCCACCCCATATGTACCTGGTGGTCGATTTGATGGCTATCGCTCAATTTATCTTTGATCCGTGGAATTGGCGGGAATAACCTGTTCATCCCTAGGAACCTGCTGAGACAAGAAACGTGTGAAAAAAAGACCTAGACGCCCACTTTCCTTCTTGCACCCAAAGGGGGCATGTTGTCATGTCACGTGCAAACACGCCATGCAGGCTCATTTCTTCAGAACAATTTCCTTTAAGAATCACAGAAGGACCAACTCCAGGCTTAGACCATGGAGAAAATGAAAGACTCTGTGAGGGTCTTTCTAGAACCTTCACTCACTCCCTTGGACACAGGGATGGGAGTGAGGGGCATGTGCAGTCTCCGGCAGCTTGGAGGAGTCTGGGGTCTCTTGTGTTTAAAGACCAGGAGGCTTGTCCAACCTTGAAGCCCACGGTTCCAGATTGGGCCACCTTTGTCATGCCTTTTCAATGCTATCTCTTAACCAGCATATTCCATGGTCCCGCAGCACCCCAGTCCGCTGCATGTTCACAGGGGCGTTTTCTTTCTCACCACACGAATGGTACCTCCAATCCTGTGACATCATCAGGAGAGCTTGTACTGAGTTGAAAGGTAGTCTCCAAAGATATATTCACCTCCTGACCCCTGAAACCTGGGGGCGGGAGTTTATGTGGAAACGAGGTCTTTGCAGATGTGATGCAGTGAAGGGTCTGAGATGAGGTCCCCCTGGATGAGGGTGGCCCTACATCCAATGACGGGGTCCTTCTAAGACACAGAAGAGGAGAGACACAGACACAGAGGAGAGACCCCAGGAAGACAGAGGCAGAGACGGGAGGGAGGCGGCCACGAGCCCAGGGACGCCTGGAGCCCCCAGAAGCTGGAAGAGGCGGGAAGGACCCTCCTCTGGAGCCTCTGGAGTGAACGTGACCCTGAGACACCTTGACCTCAGAGGTGTGCTCTCCAGGATGGGGGAGGATGGATGCCTGTGGCTTTAAGCCTCTGGCTTGTGGTCACTGGTTCCGGCAGCTACAGGAAACACACACATCTTTTCTTTAAGATAAGTCTTCTGTGTAAGGCACGAGATCTGTCCCTGTCGCCACAGCCAGTGGCCGGGCTGCCCAAACGCCTCTTTGCTCCCAGGTCCAGTGTCCCTCACAGTTGCTTTCACAGGGCAGACCAGTGTCTCGCCTGGTCCTGGGAGACATTTAGCACAGGACGCCCAAGCAGGACAGGGGCATCAGGACAGGGGCCGCAGGTGGACGCCCACAGCATCCCCACATCCCGCAGGAGGGTCTCAGGTGCAAAATCTCTCCATGCTTTGCAGAGGGCGTCATGCTGTACGCATGCAGGGTTAGTCTGCGTGTTCATTGCAAAGCATTTGCCCGGCGGCCACAGACCCTATGTGATGCCTGGGTCACACACAGGAAAGATGACTGCGGAGGTGCCCATGGACAGGCTGACTGCAGTGGTCTGGGAGCCGGGGCTGAATGACTTGTGCTGGGGGAAATGAAAATCAGAGGAGGAGAGACCTTCTGGGAACTCCAGAAGCTCCAAGGGGCTGAGGGCAGGCAGAGCTCTGAGCACAGCAGGGCTGTGAGGGGCGCCCGGCAGGAGTCTGGGGGCAGGAAAGACCCTTGTTGGTCTCCTGCCACTGACGGACGCAGCCTCAGAGCTGTTTCTCTCCTGTGTGTTTTTCCATCTCTCCAACTTCCTTCCCTTTTTCCAGACAAGTTTTCCTCCAGAAAACCCACACGCCAATTGGCTGCTAGGACTGCCTGGGATGTTTGCAGGCTGCCCTCTCTTTTTTGCCAGCCGATCGGGGCTGCCTTTGGAATAAACACCGGCCCCCTCCACTGACCACGGGGATGCCCACCTAGGACGACCTGAGGTTACCTTTTGAAAAGGCAGCTGATGGTCAGGCCACAGACGAAGGTCCCCAGGACCACCAGCAGGTAGACGTGCACCAGGCTGGATTCTGGTTCCGCAGAGCCTGGGGAGAGAGAGGGGAACACGCCAAGTACGCCGGGGGCCGGGGCACGAGCGATCGCCACCCAGCCAGCTTATGTCCTCACTAGCTCACGGAGGAGGAAACATGCCCAGAGCAGGACGGACATCTAAGGAAAGGACCCAGTCCTGCAACTTTCACAAAAAGATATTCGTGAGACAACACGACCCCGGGATCACGTCCAAAACACATAAAGCGATTTTAAGACACAGCAACCCAAAGACCGAGAATTCAATTTAGAAACGGACCAAAAAAAGATGAATACACATTTCCAGGCATACGGTTTTAAACAAAATGGCGTCCCATCTCTTCTTAAGCTTTAATCTCGCGTGTCATTTAGGATAAGTGCTCTTTACAGCACATTGTTTTTCTAATAAGGCACATTTTGTCTGTGAATGTTTAACAATCCAATGAGAAATCCCAGTTCTACCAGGAGCCTCATAACCTGATGGAGGGGCCGCCATTGTGAGATTTTTCAATAGGAACAGATAAAATGTGACCTATTACACAAAGCTGTCGTTGTTTATTTTAAGCGATACGTTAATTGTCAAAAGTGCGTATTCCGGAGGGGAAATGAAACCAGAAAAAGCCACACGGATGTCAGCCAAGTCTGTTTAGAACTCTGTTCCGGGAAAAGTCTATTCTTTTTGTCTATTCTTATTTTTTTGGTGGGGGGGGGCACATTTTAAACCCATTTGTAAAGTGAGTTGTCAGTGTTTTTGTTCTTGGCGTCTCAGAATACTTTATATGCTCTGGAGGCTTGGCCCTTATCAAATGATTTGAAATATTTCCTCCCCTTTCATGGGTTGTCTTTTCACTGTCTTGAGCGTGTCCTTTGATGCACAAGCGTTTTCATTTTTGATGAAGTCCGCTTTGCCAATTTGTTTCTTTCATCATTCCTGCTTTTGGTGTCACGGCTAAGAACCCGCTGACAAACGCAAGACGGCAAATGAACTCCTTACGGTACTCAGCTGTCGCTTCCAGCTTATGAAATATTGCTGACTCCTTATTTCATTTCATAAATTCGACACCGGCAGGTATCAAAGGCATTGATCTTGGATCAGAAAAAAACAACCACAAAGAAAACGTATGCATACTGTGCTTGCTAAAACACTGAAAGTGTTTGAGACTGGATGGAAGGGAAGGTAGACTCTTAACTATCAGATTGGCTTTAGGGCCAAACCATTACATTCCTGCCAGCTGATCAAAGTTAGAAGGAGGAAGGTGGTAAGATCTGTCAGGCTAGGGCTTCCCTGGTGGCGCAGTGGTTGGGAGTCCGCCTGCCGATGCAGGGGACGCGGGTTCATGCCCCGGTCCGGGAAGATCCCACATGCCGCGGAGCGGCTGGGCCCGTGAGCCATGGCCGCTGAGCCTGCGCGTCCGGAGCCGGTGCTCCGCAACGGGAGGGGCCCCAACAGTGAGAGGCCCGCGTACCGCAAAAAAACAAAAAACAAAAAACCAAAATCTGTCAGGTTAGCCATCCCCCGATTAGAAAGAAACAGAGCCAGTTTGGATGTGAGCTGTATCCCAATCAGAGGTGGACCGTGACGGCTGTTTGGTGTGACCAGGAGGGATGGGTCATTTCCTGGTGGGGCGGAGGCTTAGGAAGGCTCTTAGTAATTCTTAAAGGGTCCCTCTCACGAGCCCTTGCTGTTGCCAGGGGAACAGTGTTGCAGGGGCCGGTGGACAGGAACCCCTCCCAGAATGGCTCAGAGATGAATTCAGGATGCCAGGATCTGTCTGGTGATGATCTCGGGACACGTACCAAACTCAGCTGGCTGACTCCAGGCACCCCAGTGGGCTTTCCGGGCATCTGCCGTCCTGATCTTCACAGTATGTTTGGCTCTGAACCCCGGTCTCGGAAAGCTATATTTATTCCCCGAGTCACCAGACACCACAATCTTTGGAGAAAACAGAAAGTTAGACAGAGTTGTTGCCTGTGTTGAGAAACAGAATGCGGGTGTCTTTTCAGTTGCCCAACTGAAGTGAAAGATTCAAAGCCACACTCTCCCAATCTGGGCATGAATGTGGTATTTTACGTCCTGAGAACTTGGGAGGAATGCTTAAGGGAATAATGACAATGAGTGATTCTGCCATTTTCCGAGTAACCACTCCTGGGGTTGCTAGGATCGTAAGTATAGATGCAGAAATGATTCAAGAGCTACAGTGGGTATGAACCCACCCATGGATGGATAATGCCCCTGTAAATGATGTTAAGAGGACCAAGTTCAACTTCCTCATCGGACAGAGGAGGATACTGAGGTCAGAGTGGTGGTGAAACTTAGAAAAGATCAACAAAAATTATTTTGATGATCAACCTCGAGAGGAATTTTGGAAGAAGACATCATCCCCTTGACACTCCAAGGAATATTTCCTTGACCAACATGGATAGAAGAGGGAGACCCCATCCAGGGGCCTACTGGGGGGGGTGCCCCTATATCACTGACTGGACGGTACTCTAGGAAACCTCCATCCTCTGGTTTTTACCCCGTCCCCATCCTGGCCACCGCTGGACAAAGTTTGCAGTTGGCATGTGTCCATTGCCCAACATCGTACGCTTAAGCTACAAGGGTGATATTTTGGGTCAGAGTTGTAACTCACCAGTTGATTTCCACTGCTTCCGGTATTACTCTAGAAAAAAAAAAATCCAGACCAAAATAGAATGTTTATTTCTCTCCATTTTGAAGGTTTTTCATGGGTCTCATCCAATCTCCCCCTTTGAGCACAGTCAGGAAAAACCGAAACAGTCAGGGTCCAACAAAGGGTTGAGCTCCTACTGTCCCCCCTAACCTGCAGTGGCCCCCAAATAGAAGGATGGAACATGCCCACAGGAGGGAGGGTGCCCCTGTTCATGGCTCCTTCTAGAACCTCAGCTGGTTATGGATCCTAATAAGAATTCAGGTGGGCTTGGAACATAGGTTCCTCCTTGTCTGCACTGGGTCCAGGTGGACATAGGGAGAGGGTTCCTCCTTGTCTACACTGGGTCCAGGTGGGCTTGGAGCAGACCCTGAATTTTCCCAGATGTTCACCCATTCTGAGCCCACCTCATGTGCCCCAGGTTCTCATGGTGGGTCATGGGGGTGGCTGCCAAGCTTCTTGAGGTGTGGTGCCCTGCTTGGAGCAGTGTCCACTCACCTGTCTCTGGATGTCCAGCTGGTACTGGAACTCCCTGATGGACAATGTTTTTCGGGTCCTGGGCTTTTCCCACCGGATGAAGCAGTGTGATTCGTTGCAGTGCACGGTGATATTGTTGGGTGGGTTGTATTGCTCTGTAATGAGAACCCAGCAGACACCTCTAATCCAGAATGCTTCCCCTGGACCACAGAGAGGAGACCCAGTTCTGCCTTTGCAACATTGATGGTGCCTCACCAAGGTCACCGGGAGGCAGGGGTGGGTCTGAGTGTTGTCTCTTGGGGAAGATATCAATCATCAGGCCGCCATGTGCAGAAGGGAGGAAGTTGCGGTTCAACAAGACCTGGGGAGACTTTCCTGGTGGCGCAGTGGTTAAGAATCCACCTGCTGATGCAGGGGACACGGGTTCGAGCCCTGTTCTGGGAAGATCCCACATGCCGCAGAGCAACTAAGCCAGTGAGCCACAATTACTGAGCCTGTGCTCTAGAGCCTGTGAGCCACAACTGCTGAAGCCCATGCACCACAACTACTGAAGCCCGCGCGCCTAGAGCCCGTGCTCCACAACAAGAGAAGCCACCACAATGAGAAGCCCGTGCGCCATAACAAAGAGTAGCCCTCGCAACTAGAGAAAGCCCGCGCGCAGCAACGAAGACCCAACGCAGCCAAAAATAAATAAAATTTTTAGAAAAAGAAGACCTGGGGAGGTAGGTGGTGATGGGTTTGGAGGGCAGGAGAGAGGCCGGTTTGAAATGACTTTAGCCTTAAGAGGCCTGGACTATCCTATGGGATCAGGGAGCCTAGAAAGAGGGGCTGGCGTTCAAGAGAAGACATTGTTTGGCATACGGGAGTACCTTCAAGAGACCAGCCTGGAGCAGAGCGCTAGAAAGAAGAGAAAGAGCTGGCAAAAAAGAAGAAGAAGAAGAAGAAGTAAATTCACAGTGGTCCAGGATGGGTGGAGGGGCTTGGACTGTCACATTCTAAGGAGAGAAAGAGGAGGTGGCATCTGGGTAGATTCAACTGGGTGTACACTTGTCCTTGTAGCAGGTTACCCAAAGGGAGGGAAGGAGGGAAAGATGGGGGCTTGGAGGAATTGGGTCCACATGGAGCTAGCAAAGTCATGGTTTCCAGATGGGGGAGTTGATGCATGTTTGAAAAGGTCAAGGAATTTCAGTGTCCTTCATCGTTGAACAGATATCCAAACAGTGACCCCATGACGGTGCATGCCAGCAATCAACAGGATGGGAGTTCTGTATCTGACTGCATTTTGATGGGCATCTGTTCCATTCTAAAAGCTGAGACTCAATTCTGTTGTTGGAATCTCTGAAGGTCTGTTTGGACAGCTTGGCTGTGTGAAGCTTCTCTTGTGACTGTGAATCTCATGGACTCCACTTCCACATTGAGTAGATCTGATCGTCTTTAAATTTAGAGATGAGATGCTCTATCCCTAGGATACTTACACTGGATTTTCCAGCTCAGAAAAAAGTAAGGGATATAACTCCTCTGGCCTATCGTTGTGATCTGGACTTAGGATTCTGCACCCAGTTCTAATGTGTGGGACTTCCCTCCGACCCCCAACACCACCAAGCAATTCTCTGACACCAGCTGGGTGTCCTACAATTCAACTCAATTCTGACACTATCTACCTGGAGGTGGCGTCAGATTCCACAGGTGAAGGGCTCAGTCCTCCCACTTCAAATGTCAATCCCAAGTCCAGGTCATCACCTGTGCTTCCAACTGACCTGCTATAGATCAAAGATTCCCCTGACCTCCTCCGTGGGTTTGATTCATTTGCAAGAGAAGCTCACAGAACTCAGGAAACATTTTACTTACTAGATCACTATTTTACAATAAAAGGACATAACTCAGGAGCAGCCAGACAGAAGAGATGCATAGGGCAAGGCATGGGCAAAGGGTGTGGAGCTACCATGCCTGCTCTTCTCGGGTGGCTGTCTCTCTAATTTGTGGACATGTTTGACTGAGTAATTAAGGATCTTGAGATGAGGTCATTCTGGATAAGATGAGCTCTAAATCCAATGACTGGTGTCTGTATAAAAGGAAGGAAGGGAGATTTGTGATATACCAGGAAGATGGACATGTGGACAGAGATTGAAATGATGCAACCATAAGCCAAGTACTCCTGGCCATCACCAGAAGCTAGGAAAGAGGCATGGGAGCAGAAGTTCTTTCAGACAGTCCAGAAGGAACCAAACCTGCCAATGCCTTGATTTTGGATTTCTGACCTCCAGAACTGCAAGAGAATACATTTCCATTGTTTTAAGCCTCCCAGTTTGTGGTCATTTGTTACAGCATCTCCAGGAAACTTACGCAGATTTCAGCGCAAATTCTGTCAGACCTACTAGGCAGTGGTTAAATCACAGGTGGTTGCTCTCACCTATTTCTTTTAACAGCAAAACCGAATCGAAGAACTGGATTCCTGCTTCTTGGCTGGTACCGTTAACCAGGAAGTAACTGTACGAAGTTAATCCCGAGAGGTCTTGGAGGTGACATCCCACGTGGGTTCCCGAGTCTTTTAGGTAATGAGGACATTCTCTTTCGATTTTTTTCCTGTAAGATTCCAAAGTGTTCAGAGAACAATCAGGGCATATTTCTTTCTTTACTGTATTTCTCAGGGTTGTCTACATGAGGTCAACACTTACTTTGAGTCTCTTATATACAAAAAATATTGAACGTCATTGGGCGCTGCTTGGCCCTTGGCCCAGGTGCAGTTCATGAAATCCGCATTGTAGATAAGACAGGAGAAGTTTTGGGCAGCTGTGCCCTCCCCACCTGGGAAGAGACAGAAACAAAATAATTTGTACATGGAGTTTAAAGGGGGATGGACCGGATGGCTTCATGGTTCAAAGAAGAATCAATACCAATTCTTCTCAAACTCTTCCCAAAAAGAGAAGAGGGAACACTTCTAAACTCATTTTCTGAGGTCAGCATCACTCATCACTCTGATACCAAAGCCAGACAAAGACACAAGAAAAGAAAATTACAGGCCAATATCCCTAATAAGCATAGATGTAAAAATCTCCAACAAAATGTTAGCAAACCACATCCAACAGCATGTTAAAAGTCAAATTTGTCCCTTGAATGTAAGAATGATTCAACATATGCAAATCAATCAACGTGATGCACCACATTAACAAAGTGAAAGAGATAAACTACATAATCATCTCAATAGATGCAGAAAAAGTGTTTGACAAAATTCAACATCCATTCAGGATAAAAACTCTCAACAAAATAGGTATAAAAAGGATTTACTTCAGCACAATGAAGGCCAAATATGAAAATCCCACAGCTAATGTCATACTCAATGGAGAAAAACTGAAAGCGTTTCCTCTAAGGTCCTGTACAAGACAAGGATGCCCGCTCTCACCACTCCTATTTAACATAGTACCTGAAGTCCTAGCCAGAGCAATTAGACAAGAAAAAGAAATAAAGTTATTCAAATCAGAAAGGAAGAAGTAAGATGATCTCTGTTTGCGGATGATATGATCATATACGTAGAAAACCCCAAGACTAAACAAAAAAAAATATTGAAACTAATACATTTAGTAAAGTTGCAGGATACAAAATCAACATACACAAACCAGTGGCATTTCCACACAGTAACAATGACATAGCTGAAACAGAAATTAAGAAAAAAAAAATCTCATTTACAATAGCAACAAAAAGAGTAAAGTACCTAGGAGTACACTTAACCAAGGAGGTGAAAGGCTTGTAAGTTCGATGTTGCAAGACATTGATGAGGGAAATGAAAAAAGACACAGATAAATGCAAAGACACCCTGAGTTAATGGACCGAAAGAATTAATAGTGTTAAAATGTCCATACTACCCAAAGTATCTATAGATCAATGTGACCCCTATCAAAACCCCAATGACATTCTTTAAAGAAAAAGAAAAAACAGTCCTAAAATTCGTATGGAACCACAAGACTCCAAATAGTGAAAACCATCTTGAGCAAGAAGAACAAAGCTGGAAACTTCATGTTGCCTGATCCCAAGATATATTACAAAGCTACAGTAAGTAAAACTGTACTATGATGGCATAAAAGTAGACGTAGAGATAAGTGAAACAGAGTAGAGAGCCCAGAAATAAATTCCCACACTTATGGTGTACTGATATTTGATAAACCTGCCAAGAACACACCAGGGAGAAAGGATTAGTGTCTTTACTAAATGATGATGGGACAACTGCATATCCACATGCAGAAGAATGAAATTGGGTCCTTATCCCACACCACATACAGAAATCAAGTCAAAATGGATTAAAGACTTAAATATAAGACCTGAAACTGTAAAACTCCTAGAAGAAAGCATAGGGAAAGAACATCTTGACATTGGTCCCAGCAATGATTTTTTGGATTTAACACCAAAAGCACAGGCAACAAAAACAAAAGTAGAAAACTAGAATTGGATCAAACTAAACACTTCTGCACAGCAAAGGAAACAATCAACACAGCAGAAAGCCAACCTATGGAATGGGAGAAAATATTTGCAAACCATATGTATCTGATAAGGAGTTAATATCCAAAATATAAAAAGAGTTCAAGCAACCCAAGAGCAAAAAACAAATTTTTAAAAAACAAATAATCTGATTAAAAACAGTCAAAGGATCTGAATAGACGTTTTTCCAAAGAAGACATCCAAATGTCCAACAGGTACCTAAAAAGATGCTCAACATCACTAATTGTCAGGGAAATGCAAATTAAAACCACAATGAGGTATCACCTCGCACCTGTCAGAACGGCTCTCATCAAAAAGACAAGAAATGACAAGTGTTGGCAAGGATGTGGAGAAAAGGGAACCCTCGTGCCCTGTTGGTGGGGATGTAAATTGGTGCAGCCACTATGGGAAACAGTGTGGCGATTCCCCCCAAAATTAAAAATGGAACTATCATATGATCCAGCAATCATTTTTTTTTTTTTTTTTTTTTTTTTTGGTACGCGGGCTTCTCACTGTTGTGGCCTCTCCCGTTGCGGAGCACAGGCTCCGGACGCGCAGGCTCAGCGGCCATGGCTCACGGGCCCAGCCGCTCCGTGGCATGTGGGATCTTCCCGGACCGGGGCACGAACCCGCATCCCCTGCATCGGCAGGCGGACTGTCAACCACTGCGCCACGAGGGAAGCCCTCCAGCGATCCTTTTTATGAGTGTATATTCCATGGAAATAAAATCTGGATCTCGAAGAGATATCTGCACCCCCATGTTCACTGCAGAATTATTCACAGAAGCCAAGATATGGAAATAAACTAAGTGTCTGTGTGGACAGATGAATGAATAAAGAAGATGTGATACACACACACACACACACACACACACACACACACACACACACACAGAGGAATATTAGTCAGCCATGAAAGGGAGGAAATTCTGCCATTTGCAACAACATGGATGGACCTGGGGGGTATTATGCTAAGCGAAATAAATCCGACAGAGAGAGACAAATACTATATGATTCACTTATATGTGGAATCTAACGAAAACTCATAGAAACACAGAATAGAATGGGGGTTCCAGGGGCTAGGGAGGGTGGGGGAAATGGGAGATGTTCGTCAAAAGGTACAAATATCCAGCTGTAAGATGAGTAAGTTCCAGGGAGCTAACGCACAACCTAGTGACTATAGTTAAAATACTGGATTGTTCACTTGAAAGTCACTAAGAGAGTAGATCTCCAGGGTTTCCACCACAAAACAAACAAACAAAATAACTACTTGACAGGATGGATACGTTAATAGCTCAGTTGTGGTAATCATTTCACAAAGTATACGTACATCAAAACACCAAATGTGGGAATTCCCTGGGGGCCCAATGGTTAGGACTCTGCGCTCTCACTGCTGAGGGCCCAGGTTCAATCCCTGGTTTGGGAACTAAGGTCCCACAAGCCGCGCAGCATGGCCAAAAAGGTAAAAAAACAAAAAACAAAAAACCCCCCAAAGGTACCTCTTAAATATATGCAATTCCTATGTGTCAATTCTATCTCCATATAGCAGAAAAAAGTGGGGGAATGTACCCTGATGCTCATGTGGGAAGGAGAAGAATCACCACCATGTTTTCCCTACCTGGGTTCAGGTAGACCAGTGTTTCTGAAATTCGTCTTCGGTTGATATTTACTTCGACAGTGAGCGTGACTCCCCCATGGAGAGAACAGTCCTGAAAGGTGCACTGACATTCCTTGTCTTTGACCTGAAAAGATGTCACCAGCCAGTGAATTAAGAACCAGTCTTCTTTCGTTACATCCTGGTTGTTTGCTCCTACCCTGACCCTGTGATGACATCCACCTCCCTCTGTGACATCTCCCCCAGGTACCTTCTTTGGCAAGACGCCAACTAGCAGCCTTCAAAAGGTCAGAATAGAGCTCGCTTTTTATTTTGTTTTATTTATTTATGTTTGGCCGCGTTGGGTCTTCGTTGCCGTGTGCAAGCTTTCTCTAGTTGCAGCGAGCGGGGGCTACTCTTCATTGCGGTGTGTGGGCTTCTCATGGCAGTGGCTTCTCTTGTTGTGGAGCACAGGCCCTAGGAGCGAGGGCTTCAGCAGTTGTGGCATGCAGGCTCAGTAGTTGTGGGGAACAGGCTCTAGAGCGCAGGCTCAGTAGTTGTGGCGCACGGGCTTAGTTGCTCTGCGGCATGTGGGATCTTCCTGGACCAGGGATCGAACCCATCTCCCCTGTATTGGCAGGCGGATTCTTAACCGCTGTGCCACCAGGGGAAGTCCCAGAGCTCACCTTTTAATATGAGAGCCCTCAACTCTTTAAACTGTATGGGAACTTCACACCCTCTTTTATGGGATTGACTTTTCTTGTCCTGTCTCATACCCACCGTTCTCTCACAGGTGTCACGTTTACATTGTATCCAAGTCAGTCTGTTTACTTTATTCCCATTGAACAGGCAGAGCTAATGTTATTTCTCTCTCAGGTTTAAGTCTTGCAGGTGGACCAACTGAGCAAAAGGCTGCCATTGCAGGCAGCCAGGAGCCCCCAGGCTAATTGGAATAGGGATGCCTGAGAGAAGAATGGGGTCCTCTCAGGGAATCAGCCCTCTGGACACATCTTGGACACAGCAGCACTTTCCTGGTGCACTTCGAACCATGAGTCTGTGATGTGTCCCAGTGTCACGCGTATGTTTTTTGTTTGTCCTGCTTGACGAGAGCTCTCCGAAGAACGGTGATCGAGCACATCCAATCCATCTTACCTTTTTTTTAATCTGTCCCTTCTCCTTGTGAATCAACACACATTCCCCGTAGGTAGCGTTTTCCTGGCAGTCCCAAGTTAATTTTGTCGTCTTTGGGTCAAACTTCATGTTTAGACTGGAGTTCTGTTCCACGGTTGGAAGATCTGAAACATACAGCCTCAGGAGTCAGAAACTACCCTTCTTCTCCCGTCTCCATTCTCCCTTAACCAATGCATCTCACATCTTGTGAGCAGAGATCAGGGCTGGGAATCACTGTGCCCCTACCCCTCTCACACACCCTCATCACCCCCTACCCCTTTCCCACCTCTCCTTCCTGCCCTTTCTGCAAGGGGAGATGTCCACTGTGGAAATAAACGAAGACAGGAAGCAGCAAAGGCTATTTATCCAGATCCTGCCATAGTAAAGGGAGTTGGCCACCATCACCTGTGTCTGCAGAATGGGTGGGGGGGAATTCACATCACCAGCAGGGGGAGCACAACAGGAGGTGTGATGCCGGTTGACCGTTGCATATGAGGATAAAAGGAAATGAGATGCAGGCATTGGGATGTTTCCCCCAGAACCCAGGGTCATGGGAATGGGAGCAACGGGGAGAGGGGAAGCACATCCATACGTTTATCCCATTGGTCCTGGGTCAGGAAGAGTGAGGGTACCAGCAGCATGGAGAGTAGAACGGCCATCGCCAGGGCACACAGGGGGCTGACCGAGGGACGTGAAAGTGCTGGGGGAAGAGAAAATCAGCTTTCATGGGGGTCTGGACATGGAGACCAGGGGTGTTTCCCTGGCGGGATGTCCAGGGAAAAAACACAGGACTCTCTCCAGGGTGATGGTCAGCATGGTGACCTGGCCAGCCTGGGTCACTGTTGGCTATAGAGGGTCCTCAGGCTTCAGTAAGCCTCAGAGATGGCCCCAGAACCAAGAGCCTGTCCTCAAGCCTGAGCACCACGTCCAGTCTTCCCTGTTACCGCCTGAATCACTTTGGGCAAGTTGCCCACCTGCCTGGTCTGTAACATGGTGGCAGGGCTTGGGAGGTTGGGGGATAACTCCCAAGTCAAAGGCAATGAAAGGCCATGTACCGCGCCCAAGGATGGGGTTCCTTCATGCAGTGGGAGACCCTTGGGAGACCCTCCCCCTGACCCTTCAGCATCCTTTCTCCAGAGCCTGAGGACGAGGGTCCCTCCATGCAGTGCATTTGGGGAAACCCAAACCCTGAGTCTCCAACGTGGTTATCAGAGTCTGTGGATGGGAATCCCTCTGGGCAGTGTCTTTCTCTCTGCACTAAGAGACTGTAAGCCCCCAGCCATAGCTGTTTCTCTATCCCCAGAAATGCATCCCCAGCGTATGGGTATCAGGGCGCTGGATACACATTTTACAAATTGAGTGGATTATTTCTCCAGAGCAGACCGTGCCAAAAGCAGGTGTAGCCCCTGGAGCAGCTGCTGAAGTTGGGAACAGAATAGCAGGGATGGTCTATGTAAAGAAAATATAAGCCATTTATATACATTATTATATAATTCCCCTATGCATTAATTATAAAATCTATCTCTTCATTTATAATCGAGATCTTCATATAAAATTGTAAATATAATGTGAATTATATAGAAATAATCCATGTTTGTATGAATATGAACAATTTTATAAATAATGTGGATACATAAGGACATTCTGTGACTTAATCATATCATCTTTATGCTAGGAGACTCTCTCTCTGACAAGCTTGCTTCACACTTTGATCCCTTTGTTATTCACACCCGATGAGGGAAGTTGATCAATGAGCAGAAGGACAGACACAAAATCAGACAGATGTCATGAGTTTGTAGGCGCTGAGCCTGACGTGGATGTACAGTTCCCCACAGAGCGTGGAAACCGGGGAGCTTTTCCTGCCCCCCCAAGAAAACTGTGTTACTTTCCTTGTGCTCCTGTAACAAATTCCCACAAACTTGGCATTTTCTTTTTTAATTTTTTTATAAATTTATTTTTATTTATTTATTATTTTTGGTTGTGTTGGGTCTTTGTTGCTGCACGCGGGCTTTTCTCTAGTTGCAGCGAGCGGGGGCTACTCTTCGTTGTGGTGCACGGGCTTCTCACTGCGGTGGCTTCTCTTGTGGCGGAGCTCGGGCTCTAGGTGCGTGGGCTTCAGGAGTTGTGGCGCACAGGCCGTTTAGTTGCTCCGCGGCATGTGGGATCTTCCCGGACCAGGGCTCGAACCCGCGTCCCCTGCATTGGCGGGCGGATTCTTAACCACTGCGCCGCCAGGGAAGCCCCAGACTTGGCATTTTAAAAACTCCGCCCTTCATCTCTTGCAGTGCTGCAGATCAGAAGTCTGACAGGGTCCCTTTGGGGTAAAACCAAGGAAGTGGCAGAGAGCTGCTTCCCTGTGAAAACTCCACAGGGGAACGCGTTTCCTTGGCTCTTCCAGCTTCCGGAAGCCACCTCCTTTCTGGGTGCATGGTCCCCCTCCATCTTCAAAGTGCATTACTCCAGCCTCTTCATCATCACAGCACTGCCTCTCTCTTATAAGGACACTTGTGATGACACTGAGCTCAACCAGATAATCCAGAATAATCCACCATCTTAATACTTTTCACTTAGTCCTGTCTGTCATGTAAGGTAACATATCAAAGTTTCTAGGGATTAGGACATGGGTGTTTTGGGGGACGTTTTCTGTCGACCATACAGGGACCAGGACTTGGAATTCGTGGCTCAGGTGACCCATGAATCCATGGTTGCCACATCACGGTGATTATAAGATGCTTTGGGGGGCTTCCCTGGTGGCGCAGTGGTTAAGAATCTGCCCATCAATGCAGGGGAAGCGGGTTCGAGCCCTGGTCCGAGAGATCCCACATGCCGCAGAGCAACTAAGCCCGTGCGCCACAACTACTGAGTCTGCGCTCTAGAGCCCACGAGCCACAACTACTGAGCCTGTGAGCCACAACTACTGAGCCTGCGCTCTACAGCCCGCAAGCCACAACTACGGAAGCCCGCGCGCCTAGAGCCCGTGCTCCGCAACAAGAGAAGTCCCCGCAATGAGAAATCTGCTCACCGCAACGAAGAGTAGCCCCCGCTCGCGACAATTAGAGAAAGCCCATGCGCAGCAAGGAAGCCCCAATGCAGCCAAAAATAAATAAATAAAATTTTTTTTTTTTTACAAAAAAGATGCTTTGGGGAAAATTACAGCCCCTTTGCTTTGTGTCTCATTGCTCTGACTCTCTCTTACTAATCAGACTGGATTTGGGGAGAGTGGAACAAGAAATACGTGTTCAGGTTTCCTTTATGATATTAACACATTTTTTGAGATCTTAAAATATTTTTTAAAACTTGAGTTTTGCAGCAATTAAAAAACGTCATTAGGAACAAAACAGAAAAATAGGAACAGTCAGTACACAGAGAGACACGGAGGAACTTTCAGTGCATGTGACTGAGTAAAGGAACCAATCTAAAAAGGGCTTGTAGTGCATGATTCCAGCTCTACGACAGTCTGGACAAAGCAAAGCCGTGCAGACAGCAAAAGCATCAATGGTTGCCAGGGGTTGAGAGAGGAAGAGGGATGAAGAAGTGGAGCACAGGGGATTTTTAGGGCAATGAAACTACTCTGCATGACACTATATATAATGACGGCTACAGGTCATCATGCGTTTGTCCACACCCATAAAATGTGCAACACCAAGACTGACCCCTAATGCAAATTATGAACTTGAGTCAAGAATCCTGCGTCCAACTTGCTCCATCAATCGTAAGACATGTGCCACACTGATGAATGGTGTCCGTCACGGGAACTCTCTGTAGGGGAAGTGGGTACGTAGGAATCCCCTTACTTTCCACCTAACGTTTCTGTAAACCTACAACTGCCTTACACAAAGTCAATTAACATTACCAAAAAATAGTACTGCAAAAGCACCATGCTCTATTCCGATAAAGCCACACCCCACAGAAGACACCTGCTCTTCCGGCTGGGTCTGGGGTGGCATCTGCGACTCTGCTCACCGTTTCCCCAACAGTATCTTTGGTTGTGGTGATTCATTTTTTGGTGTTGCTGTGACTTGGAATGTGGCCTTTCCTTCTCTGGCGCTAAGTTCTGCCAGTGCGCGCCTCACCTCTCTGCGCTCCCAGAATCCCATCCTTTTAACGCTTCATCCTTTCCTGGAGGGCCCTCTCTCTCTGCATTTTATGGTGCACGATCATATTTTCTGTAATTTCCTTGCATTTGTGGAGTCTATTGGTCTAAACGCAGCCTCTGTCTCTTGGTGTTTTAGTTGACTGGGGGCTGCCCTAAGAAAGGACCACAAGTTTTCTTCCCTCCCTCCCTCCCCCCTCCCTCCTGGCCTTCCTTCCCTCCTCCTGGCATTTCCCTAATTCATTCCTTCTCTATCCAATCCTGTCCTGCCTCTGCTTTTTGGAGGTCCCTCCCACTATGCCCAGCACGCCGACCCCTTGGACCTCCTTCTCCACATTCTCGTATCTCCCTCCTGGGCTCCAGCCCCACCAAGGGGGCTCGTCCATCTTCTGCCAAGGCTCTCGGACCTACAGGACCCGCCATCAGCGGACCGCTGGCCCAGCTCCTCCGTGGCCTGTGTCACCCTGGGTGACTTTGGCATCCATTGTACAAGGGGGACCTCCCGACTTCCGTGAGCCATCTCCACCAGCAAAGACCCCTTCACCCCAGCTGCCTTCACACGCCCAGTCCCCCTGGCCCGTTATCACCTGGACCCCGCCCCTGCTCGGAGACGTGTTCAGGAGTGTCCCGAGCCCGCTGGCGCTCCACGGGCACCGGACACCCTCTCCTCACACCCCAGCTGCCTCTGCTAAGAAGCCGCCAGCACCTCCTGCGTTTAATTCGCTGTTTCCATGAATGCGCCTCCTTTCCCACCTCCTCTGTCGAAGGCTGGACTGGCTCATCTATTGGAGCCGGGAAGGAAGGAAGGAAGGAAGGAAGGGAGGGAGGGAGGGAGGGAGGGAGGGACGAGAGAAGGAAGGGAGGGAGGAGGGAGAAAGGAAATAAATTCCCTGAACCTTCACCATCTCCTCCTGGCTGGGTCCCAACAATGCAGGACCCCACCCACTCCCTTTTTCAGGTGTGCATACCTGGGCCACCGCACACCTGGAGACAAGCACCCAGCCTCAGATTCCTGCCCCCAACTCCCCCCCCCCGCCCCCTGGGACCTCACTTGCTATCAGAGAGGAAATAAAAACCACAGAGCCGACCTGTTCCAACTTCCCCACCCGCCTGACATCTCCTGCCCTTCTCCCACGATGGGAAAGCACCCAGCTTCCTCCACGTGCGAACGGGACCCCGGACCACCCAGCTTTCCTCTGGGTCTTGTCCCCGTCCTCTGTGCTGGGGCCGGGGCACCCAGAGGCTCTGAGAGAGGACCTTCCTGGGTCAGTGCACGCCCGCAGCGACTCTTGCCTAGATTTTCACATCCGCAATTTGTGCACTGCCCTTGCGGTTGGAGCTGAGCCTCACTTGACAGGGCGGGGGATGGGCCGCGGAAGGGCCACAGCCCGCAGCACCTTAGTCCTCAGCGGTTACAGCACCTGCGCCCATCACCTGGCCCTCTGTCCCGTCAGCTTCCTGGGTGCACTTTTCTCCCCCTTAGTGCCTCGCATCGTACCTGCCTTGGGAAGCGGGGTGGACACGCAGCGGGTACCCAAGGATACGCACTATCTTAGACTGATCGACACCCTACAGCGCAGTTCCCCATTCAGCTTCCTCTGAACCGAAACTGCCTTGGCTTCTTGCTCACTGTGATGGGGCAAAACCAGAAACTTCTGTAAACTTGACTTTAAAAAAAACAGCCAAGTTCTCACACACCACAGAGGGACACAGAAATCCACCCAAAGGTTGCTGCTTTAGATCAGCAGTTCATCGCAGCCCCCCGCTCTGGTCGAGGATGGCGAGAAACCTCCAGGGGACATTTCACCCAGAGCATGAGATCATCAGTGCTATGACGTACCATGTGCAGACAGAGCCTGGTTTAATTCTCACCCCCGTCCTACGAGGCAGCTCCTGGTACCCTCGCAGAAGTGGCCGGAAGACCGAAGCCCAGGGAAATCTCATTCTTTTACTTTATTTGTTGCCTTGATGGTTTTTAAAGTCGCGGCAAAATTCACATGGTATAAAATTCGCCCTTTAAAACGTACAGCTCAGCGGCACTTAGGACATTCATAATGTTGTGTATCCCACCACCTCTATCTGGTTCCAGAACCTTCTCATCCCTCCAGAAGGAGACCCTGTCCGCATGAGCTGTCACTCCCCAGCCCACGCCCCCAGCCCCCAGACACCATGAACCTACTTTCTGTCTGTGTGGAGTTGCCCGTCTGCTTGTTTCCTGTAAATGGAATCGTGCCATATTTTGCCCTTTGTACCCACTTTCCCTCGTCTTCTGGTTTTCACCAGGCTGGGTTTTCTTTCCTCTTTTACAGATTTCAGCTTTACACAGATGTCAGCTGGAAAGAAGGCGCTGAGACCTTGTCTCAGAACAACCTCTCTCAAATTCGAGGCACACAGGAAACACCTTGCAGGGGCGTGGGTCCACGGGGGACCCTGGCACAAGCTGGCATTTTGATCTCGCTGTGGTTCTGGGGTGCCACGCATCACCGTGATCGGGCAACACACAGACACAGAATGCAACGCCACCCTCTTCAACAGCACCTGTAACCTGGGCAGGCCACCCGCTCTGCAGGACACACAGCTCCACGAAGGCGTCCCACCCGAGCCTTTGGACTAAATCCAAGCTACGTCCCAGGCACAGGCTTGTACAGAGAACTCCACACACTCTCACTGCAAGCTGGCTGGGTCCCTGGGACTCACTCAGACCTTACAATGCAGCTTCACGTGCTACGAGACGTACCCATCACCAATAACCATCTTCACCTGGGTGCCCTTCACCCAGCAGTTTTTACTGCCCACCCTCAAGTTCTCGCCCACCTGGAATGCCAGCTGCCTGGAGCAGCAACAGAGGCAGGAAAAGGTCCCCTAGTGACTTGACACTTTGGAGGACCCCAGGATCAAGGGGACCGGACTAGCCCACCGTACCACGCTCGCCCCTGCCAACCTGTGTTCCTCCATGCTGCTGCCTGACGCTCCCACATCTGGCCGCTCTGACAACTAAGTGTCTTCCTCGTCCGAAAGCAAGTGCCCAGATTGCGCGACAGGAGCATCTCAGCTCAATAGCTTCCTTTTTCTTTTTCCTCCTTGATGTCCTCCCCCATCTGTGGTGTTTCTCATTACAAGGAATTGGGAACCCTTCGTGGTGGAGTTGCCCCCTTCACCATAGCTACAGAGGTCACCCTCCTTAAAGTCCAAGCAGTGGCTCAGGAGGCTGCCCAGACCAGCTACCAGGTGGGCCTCTCGTGTCACTGCCCATTTTCATGGAGAAGGTCATCCTCCTAAGAGTTGGACCAGATAGATCACCAGGTCTTCTCAGAGTGGACACCACGGTGGGTCTCCATGTCTTCGGTGGAGAACACCCCCTTGCTCACATTCACAACCAACCCAGTTCTGGTCAATTCAATTCATCAGAACTTTCCTGAGTATCCCAGGGATTTAAAACCAGCCAGAGTGGGTAGGAAGTGGCTTTCCAGCTCATGATGGGGCAAGGCTGAACAGAAGGGTCATGGGGGCTGGGGACACAAACGCAGCACTGGATGTCCCCAAGGAGGGTCCGTCACATGAGGTGGTGGACAAGAGTGGGTGTGGGGTTTCATGGGAACTACATCCTGGGTGTGAGGGAGAGATGTTGTCTCCCAAGCTCACTGGGGCTCCAGGGCTTCAGAAATGCAGGAATGCTGGTACGGATCAGAGTTAGGGCAAGAGGAGCTACTGGCAAAGGGGATGGAGCTGGGGGAAGGCTCAGTCCTGCCATGTTTAAGTGGCTTCCCTGATGAGCCCCGAAGGGGAGGCGTCCATCAGGGAGCTGGATGTAGGGCTCGGCCTCAAGGGAGAGATCTGGAAATCTGAGCTCCCTTCCGGGCAGGACTCCTCTTCCTGATTCTTACAGGATTTGAGTGGCGGCAGAATGAACATGCTTGGGTAGTAAAGGGTCACCTCAGCAGCCCTGCGTGGTCCACACCCTGCCCACTGCAAAGAAAGGTCTGACCCTTGACCAGCTCCTGGCAGGTCACCTAGGAACCCTTGGAACATCCTGCCTTGTTTGCCTAGAGTCTTGGGTCACATCCAGTGGTCTGTGCTCCAATGTAAGTTATGATGGGACTGTGGGTCACGCCGTATCCAGACCTCGGGAGGGGCTGAGTAACTCAGGTCAGCCGTGTGGACGCTCCGTGCTATGTGACTGACCCCAATACAAAGCCTGGACGCCACGGCTGGCTGAACTTTCCCGTTGACACATACCCCATGCCTGTCATCAGGCATCATTGCGGGGGGGAAGTAAGCCCTCTCCAGACAAGCCCACAGGGAGCCGACACTGAGATGCCTAGTCCCTCCTGGACCCTGCTCCCTGCATCTTTTGCCTTTGATGACTTCAGTCTGTATCCCTTTGCCGTGTGAAACCAGAGCTGTGTATATAACGGTCTTGCTGATTTCCGTAGGTCCTTGTAGTGAATCGTAGAACCTGAGGGTGGTCTCAGGGACCCCGGCACGCTACCTGTTTACCGTCGTACAGGCCGCTATGTCTGGTCAAGCATGACACACACAAGAGAAGGTGAATAACTAAAGGTCTGGACAAGCGACACCGTGATGTTTCTCGGGACCCCCTGGTGTTCATCTTTTTTTTTTTTAATTAATTTTTATTAGAGTATAGTTGCTTTACACTGTTGTGTTG